ACCTGTCGACAACACTACCGTCATCTGCGGCCCTCCCGCAAATTGAAGCATCATTTTCAATCGCCGCATTGCTCCTGCCAGCCTCACTCTCCTCGCAGTCTCTGTTGACGCACCAACAGACGTAGCCGAAGCAGTGAAGCCGTTCGGCGAGCAGCCAGCCGCAGCCTCCATCATCCATCTCACCCCCTCTATCCACCTTTGTCCTCGTGCACAGTCTGCACAAACCTCCACCTACCGACCCGTCTTCCGCGCAACATATCCCTCGACCCGACTTGAGCTGTCGCCGCGCCGGTTCCCTCGACGAATAATTATTACTGGATTGCGGCATTGCGCCGCTAGGACACCCGCCTCCTCCTCTTTGTCACCGACTTGTTGTTGTTGTCCTTCCCCTTGCCACCTGCAGGTGCTGATCAAGTTGCCATCTGCAGTCGATGGTCTTTGCATAATATAAAACCACAATACCATGGCAGCAGTGCAATACTCGGCAGAATTTCTGCTGTATCTACGGCAGTCGCCATTATGCGTCAAGCCTCTCGGACTCCCTCCCGCCGAGGAGTGGATGGGGTATGTTCATCTTCTAACTCGGCCAGGCGATGGGGACACATGAATAGTTACGCATCATACATGTGTGCTCTACTAAATATTCCATGACACTCTGGCTAATCCTTCATAGACCGCCTCCAGAGACAGGCCGCAATAGCCAGGCCAAGACCACCAATGACCGCATCAAAGGCGGGGACAGTTTTCTTCTGAACCAAGAAAACAGACGTCCAACGCTGGATCGTAACGGTTCACGCAACACAACAAGTACGCTCTCCCTCTCTATGATTTCACCAGGGATCTCTTGCTGACCCTAGCAGATCCTGAGGACATAATTCTTGGACCTCCCAGAACAAGCTTCGCATCCGCCACAACTTTGCGCAATAACAGAACCTCCGACGCTGATAAGGGCCTCAAAGATAACGACCGGCAGGATCGCACGGATCGATTCAACTTCCGCGCTCGCAACATTGACTCGGAAAGTACCAGTGATCGATTTGGTAACGGGCGGAACAGCGCATTTCGCCGCCGTGGGGACGATCAAGACAGGGACAGCGAAGGCTGGACTCCGGTCAAGCCTCGTAAGAGCTTTGGTACTGAGGGTGCTGAGCGATTCCAGGGTCGCATGGGCGCTGCCGGAGAGCGTTTTGGCGGCTCCCGCGATACCCAAAGTAAAGACGTTTCGGATCGCCGTAACCGCGCCCAGGACATGCGAGACAAAGAAGGCGAAGACATTGATACACCTCGCAGGAACGGCTTGTCAAGAGGCAAGACCGATTCGTGGTTCAACAAGGAGAATACGAACAGCAGCGACAACAATGGTGCTTCTCTCTCTGTCAGGGAACGCATTGACAGGTCCAAGAGCTGGCGTGATCGCGAACCCGAAGATCGGCAGAACGACAGATATAGCGACCGAGCTGGTGGGTATGGCGGAGGGAGATATGATCGTGACCGTGACCAGCGCGTTGAGCGCGACCCTGAATGGCTCGACGAACCCGTTGAGCATAAAAGCCAGGGCCATACGGCAGAAGATTTCAAGAAGTTTATGGAAAGTATGAAGAGCAAACATGGCGGCGGGCCAAAGGCCGAAGAGAAGGCCCCTGCGCCTTTGCAAACCAATCTGCCCGAGCCCTCATTCGAGGCAGAGAAGGTGTTGTCTGCACCTGCTCTCGAAACCGGTCCAGACAAGTTCTTTGCAGCCTACGGCGGTAGCCTTCAGGTCAGCACCCCCACTGCCGAGAAGGAAGCTAGCAAGCCTACATCCGGCAAAGGGTCGCGATTTATGGCTTTTCTCACTCCTCAGGAAGGAGCAAAGACAGAGCCATCTACTCCCGCTGCTACTGCTCCCTCGAGCGGACAGCCCAATGAAGGACCTCAGCAGAATGAGGCCGAGAAAGAGGCCTTTAATCTTCTTATTCAAAAGCTTCAGAAGAGCGGGATGGGAGGGCCATCGGGGTCATCTGGACAGGCAACCAATCCTATGGCTCAGCTCTTCGGTAGCTTTTCGCAGCCGACTCATCTTGCGGACTCACAACCTAAAAGCCAAGTCGCTTCCCCGGAACCCTTCCAGCAGTATGGTGGAGAGCGCCGTGACGACCCTCGATTCCGCGCACCCCCACCGAACCCCTTACGCGACATTCTCTCCCCTCGTTCTATGGCTCCGCCCACTCAGCCGCCTCCCATGACAAGGCCCGAGCAAGCATTGCATGATATTCTTGCCCAACGCCACGCTATGCCGAACCATGGCAACAACCGGGGCACACAGAACCCTATGGTTAATAACCAGACGGAATTCCTCATGAGGTTGATGCAGAATCACAAGGAAGTGCCTGAACCGCCCCGGCAGGAACAACTCCTGGTCCGGATGCCGCAGCCCACCAAGCAGGTCAATATCTCCGATCTTTCTGAGCGTGAAGCCGAATATCAGCGGGAGCGTAGCGTTGCGCAGCGGCAACAGCAACAACAGCAACAGCAACAGCAACAGCAACAACAACAGATCAGAGGCCCGGCTCCTCCTGGCTTCTTCAGTGACCAGTTTCACCCCTCAGATGTTGACAATCGTCCCCCTCAGCCACCGACGCAGATGCCAACGCAGATTCTTCAGCGGCCTCCTCCCCCTGGTCTAGATCATCACATGCTTCCTTTCCCATTGGGTGCTGGCGGTGCCGGTAACCCTGGAAGCGGAGTGGGTGTCCAACCGATGGGTCCGCCCCAGAGGCCCATGATTCCTCCACCCGGTCTTGTTAATGGACCCCGTAACGGACCGATGCCGGGTATGTTCCCCATGAACTTCCCGCCTCCTGGTGGAGCGTTCCCGCCTGGACCTCCCCCGGATGGCCTAGTTGGACCCCCGCCTCCTAGAGGGATGCAGCCTCCCCCCGGCTTTTTTGGTGGTGGACCCCCACCCGGCTTCATGGGACCTCCCCCTCCCGGAATGGGTGGCTTCCAGGGACCAGACGGCCCTGCTGGATTTGGTGGTGCGGGTGGCCTCCCCTTCCCGGTTGATCGGCGCGGTATGCTCCCTCCTGGATACCGGGGACCTTAGGATGGACAATGGAGGGAAATGCAGTCGGTCTAGTCACTATGTGAGAGGGAGAGCGGTAACTACGAGTATGTGAGAACGAGGGTGTTCGGCGTGAAAGTATAGAGATCGTGACGGCGGAGCGTAGCAGACTATCTGGGTAGTCTCGCCTCCCTCAATATAACGAGTCATTCAGCGCAATACATTCTTGTGCTTGTTTCGTGTCGTAAATCGGTTATGCAAGCTCCATGCTTTGCTTTGCGATCACACAGCTTTCTGAGGCGGGCTTTATGGTGATTGCAAGCGCATCCGCGACTGAGTTCCGTTAACATAGCTTTACACCTGTCGCCTAATGTATCTAATGAGAACGCTCGGAAATTCGGTACGAATGCATATAAGGTTCTGCGCGGATATCTACCATGAAATGGGCTTTCAAGCGACATAGTATCATACGCATGATTAGTGTGTCAAAGCCTTGCATTCAATTCAGGCGCATGATCCTGACAAAGTCACTGTCTTTTCTACGTCAAACTTCTAATGCGTTCGAATGCTGCGCTTCTATAGTTATCTTATCGCAATGCTTTCATCTCGCTGACTGCCTCGTTGCATGGTGTGGTTACGAGGTGCGCACATCAGTTGCCGCAAGCAGATTTGTGACGCTACACGACTATATTTGGTCTGAAATCAAGTCCACCACCAACCAACTACGACACTTGACTAACAGGTGTACATCTTCCGTAGTATAGTGGTCAGTATGTGAGCTTGTCAAGCTTGAACATCAGTTCGATTCGCTCGAGACCCGGGTTCAATTCCCGGCGGGAGAGACCAAATAAATTTTTGCTTTTTTTCTTACAGTTTCATACTTGTCTTATTATCTTTTCATATTGAGTCTATAATCATCTGCGTTCCTTTATTTTATTATGTAGTTTATCATCTTCCTGGGTTATGTATTTTCTTTTTATTTAATTTTCTTTTCTTGTTTTCTTTTTTTGCTTGTATTGTTCAGCTTATGTGCAATGAACAGTGCTAAACTGGTAGGAAAGATTTGTTACCGTAGCCGACTTTGAAACATTAACATGCACAAAATAGTATAGTTGAGTCTATTCCTCACTTAGTTCTTATAGTTCTGATCAAATTATACAGCATCCAAATTGACTATAAGAGTTCACGATGGATTCCACTTTCTAATGGTGTTTGAATTTATAAAGAAAAAGAAAATTGGCATTGCATGACTGCACTTTAGATCGCTTCACGCTCGCACAAAGGGCGCGTTTGGTTCAGTCAGCAGAAATTCTACTGACTTCTTACAAGGGTAGACGAAGGTACAAAGCTAAAAAGCAGCTAAAAATGTACCACAGGAGGATGGGGGCTAAAGGACGCGTTGTTGTGACTAGGGTTGTGACTGGGGTTGTGATTCGCGGTGTTGGTTGCACTATCGCCGTAAAGTGGCGGAAGCAGCAAAATACTCTCTATCTTCATAGGGTGACCCGTTAAGATAGAAAACAGCAAAATGCTCCTGCATGGGCCCACTAATTCCCTTCTTAAGCCTTCCGAACGATGTGCATTTGCCTGCCTTAGCGCGATACTTTCTTCTGCAGCCAAGGCCAGAATGACCCCCAACTACCTGCATAAAACAGCAAAAATATAGTTTGCTGCTTTGCAGGGGTCGATTTCCCATACAAATTTTGGTTTTGCTGACTGAACCAAGCACGCCCAAAGCCTCTCGAACTCAGAGAGATCTCTCTACCCCGCCTTTTCAGATACGTACCGCTCCCCTGATCAGCTCAACCCCGCAGGCCATGCCCCTGGAGGAAGTTGGGGGACTTCCTAGCTCCCCTTGTGCGGGACACAGCTTCATTACCCCGAAAACAACAGTCACCTCCGTCCAAGTTGGATTTTGACTTTGTGATTACTTTGACCACCTCCAGCCTCTACCACAATGCCGCCACCTCGACAAGTAATTGACGGTTTATGGCGTTGTCTCTGTCCTTCTGTCGATGCCACACTGCTGGCGAAGGCCCCAACCCTGTCCTCCACCTCCGCAATTCGATCAAGATCACGAGTCAGTCGCAAGGATGGCCTGCATCGACATCGAGGAGCACGCTCGCTCAGTCAGCAATCGCATGGTTATCGAGCAAACGTCGACAGCTTTGTCTCCCCTGATCTATATATCGAACCGAAATGGCCACAGAGTCAACAAAAATCCGAAACTGTCGCGGACGCGACTGTGACCGCAACCGAGATAATCCAAGCGACGAATGATCTTACCGAGGTCTTGAAGGAAGCATCGACACCTGTTATTTACGAAGCGCTTCGTGAGCTTCGCAACCACCATGGGCAACACGGCAAGATTCGGCCTATTATACAGTTCCTTTTGAACAACCGGAAGGAAAAGCCAAACCCCTTCATCTACGAATCTCTGGTTGTTGCCAATTGGGATATCACAGGCTCGGCCGACGAGCTCGGGTTCATTTTTGACTCTATGGTTGCCGCCGGTGTTGAACCATCAATAGGCGTCCTACAGAGTGCACTCAAAGCACTAGCGGTCCATCCTGATTATCTTTTGAGAACTGATATCTTACGCTCCCTGGGAGCCAAAGGAGCTAGACTCGACAAAGAAGCTAAGATCAGCGTCACCTTGGGCCTCCTTCGCGATGGCCAATTTGAAAAGGCTCTGGATCTGTTGGATGAACTGGTGTACAGCGATCACTTGGTGCCTGCATGGGTATTCGAAATCTTCATTTACACGCTCGCAAGGCGTGGGTTCGTCGAGGAGGCCGTTCGGGTCATGCAGGTAAGGCTCAAAGCTCGCAACCAGAACACCCCGTCCCGCGCGCTGCCTTTGGGGACTTGGTACTTCTTGCTCGACGAATGCAGCAGGGCACTGCACCACGAAGGGACCAAGCTGGTCTGGGATCACCTGGTGCAGAAGCGCCTTGTCAATCCCCCTGACGGCGTCGTCATCAATGTGCTCAACATGGCCTCTCGCCACCAAGACGCAGACCTGGCTACTCGGGCTATCGAGCTTCTCGCAGAAAGGGGTGTCCGATTAGGGCTGCATCACTACGAAGCGTTGGTGGAATGCTACGCCTACAACGGCGACCTTCTGAACGCGCTGCAGGTGCTTTGCATCATGGAGGGCGCAGATATTTCTCCGGGGGCCGCCAGCACGCGGTCCATCTTTCTTCTCTTCAGACGGTCGCCCGAACTGCTGGACGGCGTCAAAGAGATGATGGAAAACTTGAAGGCGGCGGGCTACAAAATCCCCATCGCGGCTTTAAACGTGGTGCTTGAAGCCGTCTGCGAGGAAGGACCGACAGTTGACAAGGCATTCGGCATGTACCGCGACCTCCTGCACCTCTGCTCGTCGGGACCAGACCTACGCACCTTCCAAATTCTCCTGCAGAAGGCGCAGAAGGCTCAGACGGCGCAGGAGCTAGAGTCGGAGATGCTGATGTACACGCTCAAGCCCACGCGGGACATGTACGAAGACTTTGTGAGGTGCTCGATTGTGGACGGCGACCTCAACACCGCCTTCAATTACCTGGCGCAAATGGAGCTAGCGCCCTTGGCGAGAAATTCTTCGAGGCGCATGTGGATCAGTCACCCGACTTTGGTCCAGCTGCTTAAGCGCTGCTTCAACGAGATGGATCCCAGAGCGTGGGCAGTTGTTGATGTGGCCAGGGAGAGGAAGATCGACCTCGAGATTGAGATCAAGAAGTTGCTTGCCGAGATGCCAAAGGAGACAGCTGTGTCGGATCAAAGAGCGCAAGAAGCGATCACGATGATGGGCGCCGTGCGTCCAGCGTATGAAGAGGCTTTGGATGCTGGCGATCTCAAAACATTGAGCTCATCTGCAGCTTGACAAAAAAAATATATATATATATATATATTTTGAAATAAGGACTACTAAAATACTCAAAAGCATCGAAATGGAGATTATATAACTAGTTTAGTGGCTTGCCAAAGCTTAGTAATGGGCATTATAGGAAGTCAGGCAAAGAAGCAACTCAACAAAAACAACTCACAAGGTTGTATAGTGTAGCGGTTATCACTCCGGATTCTGATTTCCTTCAGAACATTCCGGCAACCCCGGTTCGATTCCGGGTACGACCTCAACTTTTGAGTTTCTTTTTAGTTTTTTTTTGGAGGGACTCCTGTCATAGTTGTAACCGCTCCGTACCACCTGTTTCCTTGCCATGGGCAATTATTTCGTTGCCTCAAAAACTGCAACAAGTCGCCCGCGGAGTGCATCATTTTTGTGTGACATGGAGGTCTCAGGATGCCGCCAGTTTTGTAATCCTTTCAATGCTTGTTGGTAACGGAAAAGAATCTCTCAAAGGACGATGATGCGATACAATGTGCCTTTTGTGTCAGGCCCAAGAGAAAATCAACCAGGAACTTCAAGCTTGGGTATCTTTTGCTTTGAAATAGTCATATCCTTCTTGCCGTAATTTCCATGCTGATGAATCAAACACCTAGTCCGGTCTATGTGTCCGAGCCAGGCCTTCTTCCAAGAAGCCCACACGACGACTGCCCATGAGCCATCATGCATGTCTGTCGCTGGAGATGGCCTTCGTGCCCCATTCAACCCCGCCTGGGTTTCGTGTGAAAGCCCATTCGGACCGTGCAAAATGCAGCCCATGTTTCTTTCTTGGCTGATGCTCTCCACCCCTACGCGCAATGGCGGCGGCCCCTCGCGCCTCTCGTTCATCGATCATGTCATTATCAAAAGCCGTACTTCCCTGCGTTGGGTGGTCGTTAAGCCTCGCTCGCTGTCCCAAGAACATGGAATTCCACCTCATGCGCCCCTGCCACGGCCGCGGCCTCCCCTGTGACCACCTCTGTCGCCTCCTCCTCGTCCGCCACGGCCGCCACGGCCGCCATAATCGCCTCTGTTCTGTCCGCCGCCGCGGCCGCCTCTGTGTCCACCGTGTTGGCTGTGTTGCTGCTCCCTTGCAATGTCGATCACGTCGTCCGGTACTCGAAGATATTTGATCTGTTTGTCCCCATAACCATTAGAAACCGCTGGTCGATTGATCGTTGACTCCTTTCCTGGCAAGAGGCAAGAGAGAGAAGAGGGGGGCAGGATAATGTCGAGACTTACGTTGTTTCCCTTGACGTAAACCTCTCGTAACCTCACAAACTTATCGCCTTCCTATTACGTCATGTAAAGTTTGTTGGTAAGCTGCCTTGTCCCCGACATTCTCTTCGACTTGTTGGATTGCTTGTTTCATCCACTCGCTCATCATCATCACTGTGTATCATCGCTCGAACGAAGGAACGGAGGGACGGAGGTAGGAAGTAGCACTAACCGGGCTGGTCTGAACAACCTCCCTTAGCGTCAGATTCATCCATGTATCGCATTGGATCAAGTGGCCGTTGAGGGTTTCGCCGTTCTTGAGCTCAACGAGCATGGGGTGGCCTTGCGCCGCGGTGAGGATGCCTAACGGTAGCTGTTTGTTGCGAGGGAGCAAAAGATTAGTACATTTTCAAGAGGGATACCGAAGTGACGCTATGTGCAATGGGAATTCGACGTACCATGGTAGTGAGTTTGGAAATCGACAGCCGTTATTTAGGCTGTCTGTTGTTGTTGCGACGGAGACCAAAAGGAGAAGTTGACGTGTTGGATGTAGCGACCAAAGGGAAGTGCGCCCGCGACGGGAAGCCTGTCCTGGCGCCGTGGCGTAGCTGGAGCTTGCCGGCCGCAACAGCTTATGTAGTACCTAACAAATGTAGCGTGGAGCAATGACATGGTTTACCAGGATATCTGGGAGCCGAAAATTAAATAGCCAACCGGCAACCCGAGATACACTAGTGTACAGAAAAGTTGGGACAGCCAAAAAGGAATGAATATCAAACATATACTTGTTATCTAGAGCTTTAGAGCAGCAATAAGAAAAAAAGGTTCTAACTGCAACTGGAAATACTGTCATCCAGATCCAAGTAATTTCAAGAAAAGTGCGGGAGCAAAAAGACATCGAGTCAAAAATAGTGGACGAGCTGGGAATCGAACCCAGGACCTTTCGCATGCGGTGAAACATGCTAAGCGAACGCTCTACCAACTGAGCCACACGCCCTGAATGAGTGATACAATATTTACGCTTCCTACCCTATAGCTGGAGCTCGAAGTCAGAACTCCCGTCAGTCTTCTGTAACTCATAGGCATGTCAAGTGCCTATTGAGTGAATTCGGTTGACATATCCCTTGAGAGGAGTTCCTGTCAAACGACGCTTGAGCTCAGTTGAGGCCCGAGTTAAATACAAAAGATGATAGCCGGACTACCGCAGCGGGAATATAGGGAGCGTGACAGGGCTTGTTGAAGTCAACAGGCCTTGTTGTATATTAAGGCCCAATTTCTATAACAAGGCCTGTTGATTTCAACAAGCCCTGTTGAGCTGAGGGAGGCTTCTAATTGGTCGGATTTGGGTGTAAAATAGTAAAAGCTAAAGATCCCTATAATAACCTTCTAGAGGCTAGAATAAGGGTCTTTATCTAGTAGCTGTTATAGTAGTCTTTTAGGGGGGTTGAAGAGGGGGGGGGGGGTTCTGGACTTTGACTTTAAAGTCTGGATGTCCGCGTGAAACTTTTCGCGCGAAAAAAAGCTGACTCCAATTGGAATCGAACTTACAATCTCAGAAAAGAAAGCAACGATAAGAACCATTAAGCTACTGGCTCATTGATTAAAAGAGAGGTTCGATTTCCTTGACTATATATGGTGCAAAAATCAAAATTTCCAGCGGCCGTCTTTAGCGCAAATCTGAACCTCAAACTAATTGACCAATCAGAAGCCTCCCTCAGCTCAACAGGGCTTGTTAAGTCAACAAGGCCTATTAAAACAACAAGGCCTTAAAGCCGTAGTAAGCGTAAGAAGGCTTGTCCTCTAATAGAATTTCTCGCTATGGTAATTAACCTCCAATATTTTAAAGTTGAATAAGAAGTCTCGAAGACTAATAAAACATTAGACTTTACCTCTATATCTAGTATATATCTGTCGTAGGTAGAGTACGTGTTATGGTACTAGCAGACTGTAGTGAATTATTAAAATAAAAGTTCTCCGTCAGTCCATATTGAAGCTCTTGCTGGAAACAGTGGACTGATTAAGATAGTTTGGAACTTGAGACTATAAAACTATCATATGTATCATTTTAAAGGGATTTGTTGAACCTTGTAATATGTGGGATCTAACAACGAAACGCATCCTACTTGTTACGGAACTAAGGCGTGCACTGCCTAGGCTAAACTACCAAAAGATGGAAGAATGTTCTGTTCGCTGGACAGAACATCTAATGCACGCTTATATAGCGATGTCACGGTTGAGCAAACCCTGTGATACTACTCTTCGCTGATTTTGCCGCCTATCTCCTGATCTGCTGTGTCCCCCGTCTTCTCTGAGCCCAGTGTCCTGGTGAACTCGCGCCCCTAAGAGTGATAGTAAGTGCCACAGTTTGAGGAGTTTTCGCATATTGGTCCATTGAGTTAATGAAATGTAGAACGCCCTACACAAACTTTCTACTTCGATGGCTGAGTCGGTTTTGACAATGTGCCCTGGCCGTGTTCATTATAGTCGAGAATAAGACCTGGTAAGAAACAAGGGGGAAAGAGGACGTCACTGTGATATGTAAATGACATAAAGACAAGATTATCCCTCAATTGTAACCAAAGTTCATGTTGGCTTCCCGTCCATATAACCTTGATAAAATGCAGGTCAGCTCTGGTTAGAGGATGACTGGAAACAACTTTCTGGATCACTGTCCCGATTTTGGTAACGGGCGTCAGCACCTGTAAATATGCCAGTCAGAATGGAAACATAGAAAAAAAGGACAGGTTCTACAGAAGTTCGCGAGCGGATACCTTCTAGGATCTCTTCCGTTCGTCTACCAAGAAGTATGACCTTACAAGTAAGATGATAGTCTCTAGTCCTCTCGTACCCATCTTGGTGCATTGGTGCTCACCGCTAGTAGCTTTCCTTTATCGAAACACTTCCTACTATGGTGAGATGGGTAAGTTAAACCTGTGGATCAGGTCGTCGAACACACAGGGCCCACGAAGCTTTGGCTATGGTGGTTCGTGTAGAGTACCTGACAGGGAGGTAAAACTTTTGCTCGCAAACGCAGGAACTTTCGGTCTGAAGCTACGATAGTAGACGGACAGATAGCGTGCAAGTCTTAACTATAGCAGCAAAAAGGCAACCAGACCATCAGATACGATAACAAGGTTGGAAGGACGGCAAAAGTATAAAAATTTGGACGAGCTGGGAATCGAACCCAGGACCTTTCGCATGCGGTAAAACATGCTAAGCGAACGCTCTACCAACTGAGCCACACGCCCGTGATACTACAATTAGCCATTATTGTCGCAAAATAGTCTTCATAACAGACCGCAAAAGCAGCCGACATTACCTTCGAGGCCTTTGATATGCTTGTTACAATGCACCTCCGATGCAGGTTTAGAAACTCGGGTCGATATCTTGCGCAATATCGAATTGATTGCATAGATAATTATATATGATGTATTTAGTATCGAAGATAGGTAGGGGTCTGTCTTCTAGAGAGGGAGCTAGCTGCACGGGAAGGGACTAGGACTGGGAAAGGTTTGACAGCCGACGTACTGCGAAAGTTCCACCCGATCAGAGATGTCTGTGAAGGTAATGAAAGGGTTCTAGTTGATTTAGGACATAAAGATCAGAGGTGCTGCCCTCAACGCATTCGACTTGTTCGTTCGCAAAAAGGTAGCAAGCTATAATGATGATTGGAGTCAAGCAGATAGTTCAGCCAGCATTTGATTTGATAACATGTCTGGCATAGTGTAAGAAACAAATCGACAGGGTCTGGTCCGTCACCAATGGCCAAGTCCATGGACATGGTATGATTAGTGTACCAAAGCGCCCAAACATGCCATTATCACCCATGGTGCCTTGTACCTAGGGTATCCGAGTTCATAGCTCTTAGAGAATCCCACGGGTCACTTACGTCGACGCGTATACTACCTGATGAACCTCTCTCCTTCTTCCCAAGATCTGAATCGTTTAAGCATTCTCGCGGCTCTTGCGGTAGCTCGCCTGTGGCGACAACGGCAACAGTTAGCACAACGAAGGCCCAGGGTTTACTACAAAGAGTACGTCGAAGCACGACTTGCCTCCTGTTCGACCTGCAGTCCGTCAATGACGGGCGCAAGCTCGCTCAGAATCTCGTGAGCCCGCTTGTGAAATTCCATTTGGGCAGCAATGAGCTCGGCAAGATTGCGTAGCGGTTCAGGGGTATCGAGCACCTAGTACACATCCGTGTGTCAGTTATCAAGCAAGAAATGAACTGAATAATGGGGAGCCACTCACGTTCTTCATAACAGCCACAGCTTCCTCGGTCTGGGTAACGAACTCGTCCTCCGCCTTCTCAATCTCCTCTTGCGCCTCAGGGCTGAGCTCATGCTCGTCGTGGGCGGAGGCGGCGGTTCCAGGCAACCTCCAGGTAGTACCCTTGACGCGCGCCTTGACGGCATCAAGGTTAAGACGGGCCTTCTCGACGTTCTGACGGGCGCGTGTAGCAAACTTAAGGTTGGTGTTAAGCGTGGTGTTCCATCCAGCGAGGAAGCGGCTCTGGATCTGCGCGTCCTGGGCTAGACGAGCCTCGCCAACGCTCTCCATGGCGAGAGCATACTTCTCAAGAGCCGTGGCCAAAGGATCCTCTCCAGCACCGGTATGCTGTTGGTGCAAAAGCTGGCTACTCGCCAAACTGGCACGAGCGATAGCATGGTTGAATGTCTTGGGCTGCGGCTTGGCGCTGGGAGGAGCAGTGAGGGCAGCCTGCGCCTCAGCGGTCGAGGTCGCCGACGACAAAAGCTGAACCTTTTCGCTGACGGTGCGGCCGAGATCCTGGAAGGTCTCCTTGATGTTGGGAGGGTAATCGTAGGGCTCGTGCGAGTATTGGGAGCTGTTGAACGGATAGCCAAATCAGCTTCACAGCACCCGATAATGACCAGGCGGAATGTAAATAGAAAGCAGCTTACGTCACAGCGAGCATCTTCTGGTGAACAGCCTTGATCGCATCGACACGCTTCTCGAGCTCGATGTACTCGGCGGGCAATTGAGTCTATCGCGAGAGCTGTCAGCCATCCCAAGCCATAGTGAGTAGCGACTCTCAGTTGCTGCTGACCTTATCCTCGGCCTGACCCAGCTGCTCCTTGGTGAATTGAACAGTGCGCGAGGCGATGGGGGCGATTTGCCCACCCCAAGAACTGCAATCGACAAGCAAGTTAGCATACCAGATGACCGTGACTGTCTGTACCCAAAGGATGGAAGGAAGAGTATGGCGGGGCAAGTTATTTACCCTAGGTTCTTCTGGAAACCCTTGAACATGTCCATGATGAGATAGTCTTTAGTGGCGACGAGAACTTCGATGGTCTGTGATCGGTTGCGATAGTGGGTTGAGACGTTCACTTGATCGAGGAGGTGCGCCGAGTATTTGAATGTTGGCTGCCTCGTGTAATTCAAATGGAGCTCCTCTTCTGGTGAGGTGTGCTAGAGTCCAGGGGAGATGCTGATGGATGGCGCCTGGAAGGAGTCCCACCAGCAACCCCACTGGTCCTTGTCATCTTGGGAGACTGTCTGACTGTGCACGTGGAGTACGACACCTTGAAGGCTCGAATGACTTGATTGGCTGTCGACTGTCACATTCATTTCGAATACGTTTTCGCATCATGAAAGCACGTCGCCCACTGTGAAGAAAAGCTGGCGAGTGAGATGGGCGTCCTGAATCAAGAATCAAGATAAACGGTTTCCATATTGTCCTTCTTCTAGTTCAACATGGCACATAACCTCATAGTTTCCCAAGAAAAGCTCGACTGAAACGCGCCTCTCATCGCCAGTCCTATCGTGTGCCCAAACCTACATCCATACACTTATCTCCAATGACTCGAAGCTATTCCTCAGTCAGCTGGTTTCGTAGTGTCGGCCCAAGAAGGTGCAATATTCCTGCACACATCTTCATAATCTCTCATCATCTGGTCGTTTGAAACCGCCTCCGGAGTCGTCCAGAACATGGCCCAGTTGCTCTCCGGCAGCTTCAGCACGCCCCGAGATCGCTCAAAGTACCACTTATTGACCGGGTTGTCCTTCCTGCTCCTCCAGCAAACGCCGTCTGGGAAAGCGTCACGAACCATGGCGTTAAACACAATATCGGCCACGCCACCGGCTCCTTGACTCTTGCGTAGAACCGCAAATTTGTCAAGATACGGCACGAGACGGCCTTCCCGGTAAGCCGTCTCTTCGTCAAGCCCAAATGGCGTCTCCCACGTAAGAATCGCGCCGCCCTCGTACTCTCCAGCTATGATGATTCCCGCGAGGCTGTCCTTGAGTCTGTCAAGGTAGTGTTCGACGTTGAGTTTTCTTCCGAAGGAGTCATTGATCAAATGTACCAGCCTCGGTAAATCGATACACGTATCTGTCAACCTGAGTCTTGGAACGCCAGGTTGCGGTGGCTGCCAGCGCTTCACCCGCGGATCAGGGAAGATGGTTACTGGCAGTCCTCTCTTGGCCAGGGTAGTTGTGGGCATCCGGGACAGAGCAATTTCCTCATCTTGGTGCGTGGGCTTGATTCTGCCGATAGGAAGCGATGATGAGTAGATGGGTCGGTCGGTAAGTAGATTGTGTATCAAGGGATTGCGCCAGGTTCTCGTCTTTACTTCACCCGCGAACCCATCGGGCTTGGCTTCAAGCTGGCCACGCCTTGATACATTGATATTTGCAGCCTCTGCAGGACTGGTCATCACCACGGATGCGTTTGATGGAAGCAAGGCCAATGTGGATTTGGCGAGCCGTAGGTTTTCCAGATGTACCGTAGCCCTGGCACTGACACCAGCGTCTTTCGTTCCTGCCGAAGTAGGTTGAGTCTTTTCGTAGAGAGCGTCTTGGATATTCTTGAATTCGTCTTCCAGATTGATGAAAACTTGGGTGCCATGGCCTTGTCTGTGGGATGGGATGCCACCCAAAGGATCGATAACGATAACCCGATCAACCAAAGCCTTTCGGAAAGACTGACCGTCGCTGACCTTCCCCGCCAACTCCCGGTAGTCCGAATATTGTCGGCCAAACTGCAATCCCGCGAAAAAGGTCGTTAGGGCAATAACAATGTCATTGGCATCAGCTTTAGAGTATTGGAGAGATGCGTCGGAGTATGCTCGTGGCGGGACGACCAGTATGTGACCATTAGCAAGTGGCGTAGTAAACGCCTTACCGAACCCCACGTAAAGGGGTTTGGAGGGGACAGAAGATGGGATCTGGGGGTTTTCAGTTGACTTCCATATGCCCGAGTCAACCACTTCGGCGGCCGGGAACCCATACTGACCAATTGCTCTCAAGAGTCTATCCGTCTGTTGTGTGACAGTTTCGTGCCAGCTAGAAGCTTGATTGGGCTTAATGTCGTCACAATCAAGGACTATCACACTGAGCAGACCAAGATCTCTCAGTCTAGTGAGGGTCTTGGCAACACCCTCAAGGAGGACATCATCCCACGCCTGTGGTGCCCTCAACTTCACGACGGCCACATGTGGTGCTTCGTTTCTCTTGACCGAAATTTCCTTTTCTGTTCCCTGAACAAAAGCAGGCCTACCGGCCACAGAGGCTGGGACACCCAATATACCGATGGTGGACGGTTTCTTCTGCCCAGCGCTCGTTAGGGCTGCGGAAGAACCGAAAGTTTGAAGATAACCTCGCGCATCGCGCTTTGTGGCCGACGACTCAAGAACGGAAATAAGGAACTCCTGCACAGAGGGTCAGTCATGAAGAATGAGAACAGGTGAGAGAAGGACCCGATAGCTGACGGGAGGTGATCATACTCTGTCACTGTCTCTCTTTTGTCTCGCTTCAGCAGACGAGGGGTACGAGCTTCTGGGTGCAGATGGCCCCAATCGGGGGCTCACTTGGCGCTTCTCCTCGGCTTCGGCTTCTTGACGTTTTGACTGGGATGTCGTTGATGCGAAAGAACGTATCAGCGACTCATGTGTTCTCGCAGAACAAGCCTGGAGTGAGAGTGTGAGAACGACAGAGCGATGAGCATTTGGGGGCGAAAGAGAGCCTGCCTGCGTTGTAGATGTAGCGTTGGTCCATGCATTGCACGAGCTGCGGCAAGTTCGCACAAACATGGCTCATGAATCTGTTGTTGGCGTGATGACGGACGGTAAGAGCTGGCTGACTGACGAAATTCCGTCATGAACTTGACAGAGCCCGATGATACTCTTTACAGGCTCGCCCGACCTAAGATACCAGTGCGAGCCTGAGAATCAACGACACAGTCATGCCCAGCTGTGTTCCGCTATACAAGAGAATCAATTGGGATCAGACGGCACTCGATGTTGCAAAGCAGAAGCCGTCAGTGTCTTGTACTTGATGCGTCAACCACGAGGGACGGCCGGGGCTGGTGCCACTACAACTGGGAGGATACACGCAGTGACCGCAGTTGTTGCTCCAATTGGTTGGTCCCGAGATGCGCTGTGTGTCAAGCAAAAAAACCCCACAAATTGGAGCTTCCAGATTTCTTCCGTCGCTACTCCACACCGGGGGTAATCAGATCATCTGATAACAAGTTACCCTTCCAAAATACAAATATCACAGCGGCCACCCCAGTCTCGACAGCTGTACTCTTCAGTGCTTAGACCCCAATACTTCTAGAGATAATACAGCTCCACGCTTACTCGTTTTCATATGGCAAGCCGTTCTCCATCCTGACCGCGCCATAGATACCGGCGATATCACCCTTCTCTCCAACATGCGCCTTGAGCTCAGCGAGGTGGGCATCGCCCGTTTCCACATTGTGCAACCTCACACCTGCCTCCTTTGCAAGGCTCATCGCATGGCCTGCATCTTTCCTCGCAAGATCGACGGTGAAGAGAGGGTATTCGCGTTTGTGATAATCCCCCGTGAGCATCCGAGTCGAATAGGCCGCATAGGGACCCGGAAACATGCCCTCGATCCACTGGTGCAAGTAGTCCGTGCCTAACCCGGACTTCTCAGCTAGGACGTGGCCCTCGGCGAGTTGCTCAACCATGTTGAGAACGAAGGTATTTCCGATGAGCTTGAGCGTTAATGCCTTGCGATAAGGCTCGTCGCTCATGTTGATCTCGGCCTTGGCTGTGACCCCCTTGAAGTAAGGCCTAGCTCTGTCCACCGAGGCCTTGGGTCCTGCCAGGACACCTACGAGCTGACCCGCGTCCGCCATGGCTGGGGCACCAAAGACAGGAGCTGCAACAAATTGAGCTCCCGCAGCTTCGACTTGCTGAGCAATCTTCTCAGTCGTATCGGGGTGAATAGTCGAGCACTCGATAATAAGCTTGCCCTTGACGTCATTCTTCAGAATCTCAGCGATGGATGCTTCCACCACCGCGTCATTGGAGAGGATGTTGAAGATGATGTCCGCCTTGCTCACGCCCTCTGCAATGGAGTCAACGATTTCCGTCTTTCCGGCGGGCAGCTTCTCGCTGAGATCGATGCACCTTTGCTTGGTGCGGTTATAGATCAGGAGCGGCTGGTCGAGGTTCGCTTTTTCCACGATGTTTGCGGACATTCCCTATGCAGGTGTCAGATATGCTCCTGCTGCAAAATCGAAGCTGTCAACGTGATGCTCACCCGTCCCATGTTGCCCAATCCGATCCAAAACAATCTCGGAGCCATGTTTGCTGCTCGTCACGGTATTTATCACTCCTGTAAGATATCGCTGCTTAGAGGTATTCAAGTTAGGGTGGCAGATCGAAGGCTATCTCAGCGCCTAACACCACTAGAGAGGTTGTAGCTACAGGGTGGGGGTTGCAAGTCAGAGACAAGTTTGGATTTATGAACTTGAGATGACAAAGGGTTACATCTTCATTTATACCAGTCCAGATCACACAAGTTAATCCGAGATCCGGGGTCTTCCAGTCGTTGTTGATCTAGAGCCGAATGAGGGGTTCGGGCAACCGGCCGGTGATGTTCATGGAGCTTCGTCGCCCCGGGATCAACACGGAAGTAAACGATACCACGAAATTCAATTTCGACTAACCAAAATGTCTGTAGAATTGCTGCGATTGGTCATCAACAGGGAAACCAACGAAATCAAAAGGTATAGAACAAGTTCACAATTTGAGAAGACCTCCAAAACAGTGATACTGAAGCTGAGATCGAGGGGCCAGTCTATCCAGGTCCCAAATTTCCCACCCTAAGCATTTAGTTAACAAGTATCCCAAGACATTAGTATTTACTAATATATTCAACTTTCTGGACTCTCCACCTGGAAAATTGGAAATACTTTTATGTTTTTACGTCAAATACTGCTGGGAAACTCCTTTTCGCAACTTAGCTGGCCCAAAAGGGGGCTTTTTGGGTGAAATGCTGCATTCTGGGTTGCAGAGCACATTTGGCCGAGGGACATGTCTTGAGAAGAGAAGAGATCTGTGCACTTCCTTAAAAGGGTAAGTTTTTGGGACCTGGATAGACTGGCCGGATCGAGTCGGTCATACGGCCATACTGCAGTAGGTATTGGCAACTACCTATACTGAAAAGCACCTTAGTCAGCAGCTCAATGGCGCGTAGTGTGTACCTCTAGGTACTACCCAGAGGTATCTTCCTAGTCTACTGCGACATGGGATGCCGCTACATCCCCCGTCTCAGCGCAACTGAGGCTCCTGCCACTGCTCCTGTAGGGTACAAGTAGGGATTAGCTGCGCGCCAGCGCTGCCAGCCTGCCGCTGCATCGCCTGAGGTTGGACGGTTGTGAATCCGCCAACGACATCATCCGCGATCCAACCAGGTACCCCAACCAGACCGACAACAACAACAACAACAGCGAACCATCACGAACCCGCTTTGACCTTTTACACTTCATATCTACAATCATCGCTTCTGGGTCGTATCCAAAGAATTGCCAACCAAGATACTGGGAAAATGGCGAACGGGTTAGTCCTCCCAGCCCTGTACTTTCCGTTGCCGAATTGCGCTGCGACTTTGAACTGACGTCCTGCTTTCGGCGCGCAGATGGAGTATTATCATCGGCCTGGTGATTGTCGCCGGCATGTGTGTGGCCGCCTGGGTCTTTTCGCCCAAGGGTGAGAACCAAGTGTACGTACTTTCTTTCTTCCTTCGCCTGTCTGGTGTGTTGTGTTGCCCCGAGCAGTAATGGCCGACGCTGTTTTCCAAGAACATCAGCTAACATGTTCTTCGAACCGCGCAGACTATGGCGATCGTCCCTCATTCTCGCCTTCGTCAGCTGTTATCTCATGTGGGCGATCACCTTCCTTGCGCAACTACATCCCCTCATCGAACCCAGACGTTCCGATTTGCGCAAAGAATACATTCACCACTGAAGCGAAATATGACGGCGGCAATGACAATGACGTACACGACAAGAAGATGGTGAGAGACGAGAAACCATCGAGGCTAGAAAGACACCCACGTCTGGCATATGCTGGGCAATAATGATGACCAGAAAAAGGGAAGAAGAAGAAGGATGGGAGTGGCAGTTCCGGAAGACGAGACCTGGACTTGTGGCATTGCTAAGGTTGTATAAATACCCCAACCAACATTTATACACATTATCGGAGAAGGCGGGCATGGCGTTATTGGGCGGAGTATGCAACTTTCAAAACCTTGGTGCATCATCAGAAACATTGGGAGAGAGGGCCTTGATGAGTTGGCTTCTACAACGGCAGACACTGTGTGGTCCGTCACCGTTCTGAAAGATGATAAGGCCGTTTGAGAAATTTACATTCAGTACAATTCTTTGTTGCATCGCTCTGCTCCTCTGACCAGACGACTGCAAAATACACCTTCCCGAGGCTTGATTAGGCAGAGAGAGACGTGACCTGTGTTCAAAGAATCACTCCAAACCCACAAAGATCAACCAACAGCCAACCTCCCGAGCCAATCCTTTGCATACATTAACAGGGAACCCAACACCCTCCCCTCCTCCGCCACGCTATGCTCCCCGACCGAGTCCACGCCATCCAGCCCAGCCGCCCATAAGATCGCCCTTCCCATGGCCCACCGGCTCAGCGCGCCCGCCGTCGCCAGCAGCGTCGCCACGCCGTAGTTGCAGTCCAGCAAGATCTTGAGCGCCTCGACGTTGTTAGCCACCACGGCCCAGCCGAGCGATCGCGCCGCCGCAGGAACGTCATATTCCCATATTACCATCAGGATGGGGAATAACTTGGTGGAAGACGAAACGAGAAGCGCGGTCGAGACCGAGTTGGGCCGGCTGAACTGCGGGAGAATGCCGAGGAGGTGGAGAGGAGAGTACCGGCTGGAGGTGAGGAAACGGATCGAGCCGTGGAAGGCGAGGGTTGAGAGGGTACAGAGGAGAACTTTTTGTGTGTTCCCAGAGTTAGCATGTTGAGAGGAGAACTGTCGAGAAAAAAAAAAGGGGGGGAATCTCGTTCTACAATAGGACAGGACGTACGGAAGAACATGTACTGTAGCACAATGGGTTGTTGAGCTAGACGACCAAAGTTGCTCACGCTTGCGCTGTTCATACCGGGCGATGCTGTGCCATCTACACTGTTGACGGTCGGAACTGATTGCTTTTCGATGCGTGCCCAAGTGAGATAGACATCGAAGAGAAGGAGAAGAACTCCGAGGCGGATGATGGAAGGCTTTTCAAGACAAGTCCGCTATGTTAGTGACGGAAACACCTGTAAGATGAAAATGGGCATCCAAACACGTACTGCAAATTCATCCTCGTCTTTCATCAAGGTGTTGTGAAGTAAATGTCTATAGACCTATGGCCATTAATGGTGTTTTAGCTCTTTGGTATCTCCAAATGAAAGTCACCTTTCACTTCTCAAGTGCTCAAGCTTGTGCTTACTGGAGCACCTCTTGATGTATCAAGTGCATTGATTGATTGGTTGACTGTATTCATCACATACCTGCGGTTTGATCAAGACAAGATCAATGAAGAGTACGACAAAGTCATGCTCGACATATTTGTCACAGAAGCGGCCGCAGTTCTTGCACACCGTCAATCGGATGTTGTGTCCTGTCGACTTGTCACCTGCGCCCTCCCTCCATAACGTCTTCACAGGGTGTCTGCATTCGATGCAAATCGGCATTCGGACTGCGAGATTGAGCAGAGACGAGGCTGATGGGGGTAAGTGTGTATCCTGATTGAAAATGTCGTAGAGGGTTCGTAAGTTTGTGATGGATTTAACCGGTTGTGATTTGATGGCGTGCCTCAATGTTTCCGCCGTGGATGATGCTAAGGGTGAGTTCTTGGCGTTCATAGCGATTCAGTGTTAGTCCACCTTTGGTTCACATAGTAAGCGCTGGGTTAGGGTTCAATGTGTATATGTTGTACAGTTTTGATGCTGCTTCACCAGGCGTACCATTTTCAGGGGCTCGAATTGAGGTCAAGCGTCCGTCAACGATATTCATCCTCTTATTGGCCAAATGATCTCGTCCATCGCATCGATGTCTAGAATCGTGCCGCCGTTGTCCTGATCAAAACGCTGGTTCATGGCGCATGAGAAATATACCTTTCGGTAATCCTATGGTCTAGTGATTGCTTTGGATGTGCCTGCTTTCGCTCTAATTCTCGATATACACAAAACCGCCAGAATAAATATTAATGCAAATTTGGCCAACTTTGCTGGCTCCCTATGATGCAGAAAGAGGACGCCATTATACTTGACAGTGATATCATGCTCATCATGAGTGGGGATCCCCCGTCATGATTTCAAAGCCGCAAATTACCCGAGATCCGATGCAAACGAGCGATCTATCTGTCCAAAGCTACAATTAGTCTGCCTTCTTATCCCTCCCAGCAAGATTGCCGCTGGGGAACCTCCCTCTCATCATTCCACTCCCGCCCATTGTAGCGCTTCTTCCAGAGGTACCGACTTCAAAATTCGACAGTCCTGTGTCCTGTAAATTGTTAGAGGTAGGATTGACAGTGCCTCCTCGATCATCGTCACTATTAGTGTCGGTAAGCTCGATGAGGTCGCCTTCTTCTGCCCCAAGAGGCGATCGTTTCGGTACGCCTAAAGAAGGCGTTCCTAATGGTCGTTTGACAAAGGCGCCTCGTAGCCAATTCTCGACCGCCGCAGCTGCTTTATCGAGGCCGGTGGACCCTTGACCGTTTAACCTCGAGGCATCGCCTCCGTCTTCAAAAGGACTCTCCACAATAGTTGGGTGCTCTTCAGCGCCGTGGAAACCGAGGCGGGCAGTTTCAGCACCCAAAACAGCCATGGACGGTAGAGAGTCAATGTTGAGGCCCGGTAGATGTTTATTTGTCCACGTGTTGAAATAATCTTTCTCGGGCCCGGGTGCTCTTACATTCCGCAGCGAGCCTACACCTCCCGGCCGTCTCATCCATGCTGGCCGCGCATCATCTCCAACAAGACTAGGACGGCTTCCCATAAGACTAGTTCGGCGAGAAGATATGCTGCCGGGACTCATAGGACCGGTCTCTCCACTTAGGGTGGTACCTGGTACGTCCATTGACGTCCTAGGCGACGTCATTGTGGAAGTGGTGTTAATGCTCTTCCTCCGACGCGGGGGAAAGTATCCCAGAACCTTACGTTCTACTCGTGCGACCTCAACAGGATTAGGAAACGAGTCGAGTGATACCCAACGCACATGTGTCCATGGTCGCTCGTCATCATTTGTTGGTAATTTGTCGTCCCTGCCTTGATCGTTGGTTGAGGGACCAAAAAACTCTCGGTTGTTGGAGTTGTCTCGCCCAAATGGATCAGTTCCTTCCGGCGTACGGGCCAAGCAATCAACTTGAGCCCCGGAAAATGAGGGGCCTTCGCAAGGGCGCCCCTTGATCTCGCAGGCATCGACAGGAATTGCAAGCCATTTGCGTATCTGAATATTGTCTCGAGACCATAGGCCGTTGGCCTTACGGAATGCGTCTTCACGGCACTTGTAGCGAAGCACAATCCCGGCGTAGGTATCGGTAGGTTGTACATGGTGAATGTACACCAGGTGCTCCGCTGCTTCCTGACTCTGAGAAGCTTCTCGCAAATCCTCGTCTGAATTACGCTTCTTGAACCTCCTGGAAACATCCAGGCCACCATTGACCCCCTCGTGGCTTTCGAGTACACTTGCTGTCCTAAGGGCCCTGAGACGCCCCTCCCGCTCGGTTAATGATCCTGATCCAACATCCTCCAAGCGTGGCCTCGACTCGTTTGGTGGTTCGGGACCCCAACTGCTGGAGCTCTTTTGTTTCCCAGCGGTTTGAGTTGCCAACCTTTCTGACCCGGTATGATATGATTCTCCACCGGTAAGCAGTGATGTGGTAAACTCCTGAACGGAGGCCCACGTCGAAGCCCACGAGCCATCGAGCAGACCACGGCCACCCCTGGGGCTACTTGTACGAGCGGAGCCCGCCGCGACCTCGAGTCTAGAATCGTTCCTCCCAGTAACATCTCCTATGCGTGCGGCGGGAATCGGCGAGGCCCCTCTGTCTGAGGTCCTGCTCGGACTTGAGCAGAGGGAGGATGATGTTGCATTATTCCGGTTGCTCGCTACGCGGCGGTTCCGTGGCCGAAGAGAGTTATCATCCACCTCTGCTGAAGCCGGCAAGAGAGCACTCGAAGGGGGGCGCTGCGAGAGACTCATGGCTTTGTGTTGATTGTGTCCTCGCAGGGAGGGCGCAAACCTCGGCGCCTTATGGTTCGTGGTTCGAAGGGAGCATCAGATAGCAGTTGTTCGAGGAACCATGGAGAGGATGCCCCTTGCTGCTAGGCTGTTATTATTCTCTTTGCAAGTGTGTGACTGCTGGAGATTATGGGCACTGGTCGCAACGCTATGAGTGCCTTCGCTTCGTTTATTTTTCCTCTCGAGATGTGCCGTAACGTGGAGTTCTCTTTGTAAGTTTATTGATTGAGACGGATTGCTCGAGGTGATGGCCCAATCGGTTGAAGCTTGGCTGGAGATCGGATCTGGTAGGACGTCGAGACAAAGGTATGGCGGGTAACAGGTCGTTGCGATTAGGTGGTTATTGGAACTGCGCGTCATGAAATCAAAAAATGCCACCAATAGCCGAATAATGATCTCGAACGGGAGACGTTCAGTTTGATGGGAAAGCTGGGAGGGTGAAAGGTCCAAGAGCTTCCACTTCACTAGGTTGTGACGAGCTGGAGGAATCGATGCGGAAGCAGGAACGTGCCGTCCAGGTTCCCACTCACCAGTGGTGCCACTGTGTTCTAAGTCTAGTTGGCGGCGTCCCCGGCCTGTGGCCTGAATGGAGGCTCCCATAGGTACCTATCCCAGAGGGGGCTCCCGTCGGCCAGTTCAGGGCCAAGAACCATAGCGGGGGCCATGCCTTGCCTCCATGCCGTGCTCGAAGGAAAGGCTCCACAATGTGTTTTGGCTCTGCGCCATGTACAAATCAGGCCCGTTTCGCATTGTCTTTTGGTACGTAATGATTTACTGCTCCAGGCCGAATCAAGGGCCTCTCAAGACAGAGAATAGGATCCCGCGTAGAGGGGAGCTTCCTGATCTTTTGTGCGCCAAGCCGAGTTACTTGGGATCTTTGCCGACGAAAGGGTCATCATGAAAACAGACAATATACTTACTAGACGCATGGAATCATGCAAAACGAGAAGAGTACTTAAAATTCGGGGATGAACAATCTTGTACTCGCGCCGCTTTGAATAAATGGTGATAGACCAAAAAGGGGTATACGTACATAGTCAGAGCACGGACCCAGTGTCGCAGAGAGCCACTTGCTACATAATCTCCACCTTTGTGAGCATCGCGCCAGGGGCAGACGGGCACGTGCAGACGTGAATGCAGGGCGCCCAGTCCTGGCCCACACCCCGCCCTTCCCCCAAACCCTGTGGTGCCTGAGAAAAGTAAACAAACGTTGGGTCCATCTTCCGATCTTGTTGCAATTGTTCGGGCAGGCGCGGGCGTTTCTTACAGCAGCGCCAAAGTCCGAACCACCACGATCCCCGGGCCAAAAACCACGACGACGCCAGAATGAGGGTTACCGAAGTCATTATCGACGTACGTGTTTCTCCACGGTGCCATTAGTCGCGACCGGACAGAGCGTGGGATGCGATAACTTGAAGTCGTGACAGAGCTGACATATCCGTGCGCCGCATAGGGCTTCAAGTCGTACGCCGTTAGAACGGTGATTTCGGGATGGTAAGGGCACAAATCCATCATGGCGATGAAAGGCATCCTCCCAACTGCATAACTAACCGGCCGTCACAGGGACGAGAGCTTCAACTCCATTACCGGCCTTAACGGCAGCGGTAAATCCAACATCCTCGACGCCATCTGCTTCGTCCTCGGTATCACCAATATGTCAACAGTCCGCGCTCAAAACCTGCAGGATCTTATCTACAAACGAGGCCAAGCCGGCGTCACGAAGGCCAGCGTCACAATAGTGTTCGACAATAGAGACAAGAAAAAGTCACCAATCGGATTCGAGGAGTATGCGACCATTAGCGTTACCCGCCAAATCGTGCTCGGAGGCACTTCAAAATACCTGATCAACGGTCATCGTGCGCAGCAACAAACCGTACAGAACCTCTTCCAATCGGTTCAACTCAATATCAACAACCCCAACTTCCTCATCATGCAGGGCCGCATCACAAAAGTTTTGAATATGAAGGCCGTTGAAATCCTGGCCATGATCGAGGAGGCAGCTGGCACAAGGATGTTCGAGGACAGGAGGGACAAAGCACTCAAGACGATGGCCAAGAAGGAGATGAAGTTACAGGAGATCAAAGAACTCTTGCGGGATGAGATCGAACCGAAACTGGAGAAGCTACGAACCGAAAAGCGCGCATTCCTCGATTTTCAGCAAACTCAAAACGACCTGGAGCGATTAACAAGGCTCGTGGTGGCGCACGATTACGTAAGGTGTCAGGAGAAGCTACAACAGTTAGCATCGGATCTTGAGACGAAGAAGCAGCGCCAGAAAGAACTTGAGGAATCTGCTATCCGGCTGAAAAATGAGATATCCCATCTGGAGGAGGACTTACAACGGGTTAAGGCACAGCGCGACAAGGAGTTACGAAAAGGTGGCAAGGCGCAAGCCCTGGAAGAAGCAGTGAAGAAGCACGCCAACGAGCTGGTAAGGCTTGCTACTGTTGTGGATTTGAAGAAGAGCAGTATGAAGGAGGAGCAAGAACGGAGGAAAGCTGGAGAGAAGAACGTTGCCGACCTGGAAGCGGCGCTGAAGGAAAAGACGAAGACGTACGAGAAGATCAAGGCGAAATACGATGCCGCCAAGGAGACGCTTGAAAAGCAGAGGCAAGAAGCAGACACCAAGGAAGAGCTGCTACAAACCCTGCAAACTGGTGTTGCGTCCAAGGAAGGACAGGAGAACGGTTACCAAGGACAACTACAAGACGCGAGAAACAGGGCCACGGCTGCGGCAACTGAACAAGAGCAGGCAAAGATCAAAATCGCCCATCTGGAGAAGCGAATCAAAGAGGAAGAACCCCGGGCCAGGAAAGCCAAAGAGCAAAACGCCGGCTTGCTGAAGGATCTCGATGGCCTGAAAGCCCAGGCTCAGAGGCTTGAGAAGGAGCTTGGAAAGCTTGGGTTCCAACCCGGGACGGAGGAAGAAATGTACAAGCAGGAAAGCTCGCTCCAGCAGACTATCCGCAATCTCGGGCAAGAATCCGATGCGCTTAAACGCAAGGTGGCAAATATCGACTTCAACTACGCCGATCCAGTCCCAAACTTTGATCGATCAAAAGTGAAAGGGCTAGTCGCGCAACTCTTTTCATTACCCAAAGAGTATATGGAAGCTGGAACAGCGCTGGAGATCTGCGCTGGAGGCCGTCTATACAACGTGGTTGTTGACACCGAAGTCACTGGCACACAACTACTGCAAGGCGGTAGATTGCGAAAGAGGGTTACCATTATTCCCTTGAACAAGATCTCTGCTTTCAAGGCTTCTGCACAAACGATTGCCAATGCGCAACGAATCGCTCCAGGAAAAGTGCACCTAGCTTTGTCCCTAGTTGGGTACGACGATGAAGTGTCAGCGGCAATGGACTATGTCTTTGGAAATACGCTCATTTGCGCTGATGCAGACACAGCCAAGAGGGTGACGTTCGATCCAAATGTTCGCATGAGGAGCATCACAGTGGAGGGTGATTCGTACGATCCATCTGGTACACTATCGGGTGGAAGTGCCCCCAACTCGAGCGGCGTTTTGGTTACTTTGCAGAAGCTCAATGAAATCAATCGGCAGCTAAAGGAAGCAGAGACCGCCCTCAATGAGCTACGCGGCCAAATTTATCGGGAAAAAACGAAACTTGACCAAGCAAAGAGAATCAAGCAAGAACTTGACCTCAAAGCCCATGAGATCAAGCTAGCGGAGGAGCAAATTGGCGGCAACTCATCGTCCTCGATCATCCAAGAGATTGCAAATATGAAGGAAACAATAGTCCAACTCAAGCAGTCGATCATGGAGGCCAAGCAGCGACAAGCGGAAGCCACCGCCGAAGCCAAAAGAATCGAAAAGGACATGAAGGACTTTGACAATAATAAAGACGCCAAGCTTGTGGAGCTGCAAGCTTCAGTCGACAAGCTACGTGCGTCCCTGGACAAGATGTCTGTTACTAACAAGGCGTTGCAAAAAGAGCTTCAGGAGGCGCAACTGGACTCCGAGCAGGTTGCTGCGGATCTCGCAGCTGCGCGGGAGCAGGTTCAAGATATCGACGTTGCTCTCAAAGCCCAACAAGAGGAGATCGACGACATCGTGAAGCAAGGAACAGTCCTTCAAGAGACCCACGACGCCGTCCTAGCACAGCTGGAAGATGAACGGACCAAACTGCATGTGTATGACGACGAGCTCCGGGCTTTGGAAGATGCTACCAGATCCAAGAACGCTCGAATCGCCGAGGAGGGGCTTGAACTGCAGAAGCTCGGTCACCAGATCGAGAAGTTCCACAAGGAGCAGCAGCAAGCCGCGCAGACAGCCTCACACATGGAGCGCGAGCACGACTGGATCGCCGAGACCAAGGACCAGTTTGGCCGGCCCGGAACGCTCTACGACTTCAAGGGCCAGAATATCGCCGAGTACAAGTCCACGCTGCGGAACCTGACGGAGCGTAGCCAGGGCCTGCGCAAAAAGATCAACCCAAAGGTGATGAACATGATCGACAGCGTCGAGAAGAAGGAGGTGTCGCTCAAGCACATGATGCGTACCGTCATCCGCGACAAGCGCAAGATCGAGGAAACCATTCTTAGTCTGGACGACTACAAGAAGAAGGCGCTGCAGGAGACGTGGGAGAAGGTCAATGCCGACTTTGGACAGATCTTTGCCGAGCTGTTGCCAGGCAGTTTCGCCAAGCTGGATCCTCCCGAAGGCAAGACCATCAGCGAGGGCTTGGAAGTCAAGGTGCAGCTTGGTAAAGTGTGGAAGCAGAGCCTTACCGAGTTGAGCGGTGGTCAAAGGTATATTCTTTTTTTTTGAAAAACCCTTTTTTGTCTATTCTTTTGTATAGTGTTCTTTTTCCGCCTCCCCCAATTCAACGCACCTCAGCCCGTCCCTTCATCCAAAAATTTACCATTAACCCTACTAACTTTGTCATTGTCCAGATCCCTAATCGCCCTCTCCCTCATCATGGCTCTGCTCCAGTTCAAGCCCGCGCCCATGTACATTCTCGATGAAGTCGATGCGGCGCTCGACCTGTCGCACACGCAGAACATTGGCCGTCTGATCAAGACCCGGTTCAAGGGCTCGCAGTTCATCGTCGTCAGTCTTAAAGACGGCATGTTCCAGAACGCCAACCGCATCTTCCGGACGAGATTCAGCGAGGGAACGAGCATGGTGCAGGCGCTCACGCCGGCGGATTTGAAGTGACATGTTCATCTTTTAGGCAAATAGACTTGTATGATCAAAGGCTGGGATTGGAATACCGAAGGGCGGAGGAAAAAGAAACAGGATGGTCGTTTGTTCATGAACTTTGGGCGTGATGGGATCCGGCTTGGTTGAGTTATGAATGGATTTATAGCTCTTACACTTGATGTGTAATTTGTGGGAAACGGATATGGAGAATCGACAATTGGGAGCTCGAATCAACGAACAACTTTGGTATCTTTAACTTGGGGCATTCTGGCGTGCGGTCATCTAGCTGACACATGGAAGCTACGCTTATGTACTAGCCTTGACCTAATCTCGCTGATTTTCATGTTCGGGAGTGTTCCTATTCTCTATTATTACAGTCCAAGTTTACCCACTGATGCACTCCATCTGGATAGCGACGGTATTTCCGCCATACCCGTTGGTCTACGTTGCTTGACCGCCTAGACCCAGTGCTGTAATGATTTTCTGTTTCAGATATCCGGCCTGTCACTCTCATACATCCTCACATACCGATGAGGCCCCCTGCTCAGCACCTCTACACTCATACCGACTTCGACCCAACTTTCCATCACCATGTTATCGGGATCAACTCCTTCGACATCGGAAGTAGGATCACAGAATAAAGGGGTCAGCTGCATGCCGAGACTACCGACGCCCTTAATCCCCGGATCTACGTCTCTGTACTTTCGGAGGGATCGGTCCGGCTCGGCAGGGTGACGGAAACCCGTGTCTTGATCTACGTTGGGCATTTTGCAGCTGTTGGGGTTAGTTGGGGGCAATCCTTTAGTATATGTAGCATTCTTTTTTTTTTTATTTACACTAGGGATGGGAAGTCCTTCACAAACTTACCGTACGGTTCGGCAAGATACGTGAAATTGGGTCTTGTCATGTCTTTTATTGGAAGGTTCAGGATTGAAGCGGATTGTCTTCCAGGTTTCTTCTTCGTAGGCTTCGACACCGTCAACTATGATGTGTGATGAGGCTAGGTCAGTGTGTGTATGTGTGAAAGTGTGTGTTGTTAGCGTTACGAGATTGGGCCTTATTTTCGGAGGATAATGCAGGGTTGCTTCAATGGGGATATTGCGCCGAAATGGAATCTTGCTTCTAGAAAGCTTGCCCAGACAGCATGATTCAGACCATCCATAATGAACACCTAATTCCTTTACTAGCCATGCGCCTAATGACCCCTGAGGGGAAGCAAAATGGCCCAAGAGCTTTGGGGGGGTTTTGTTCGACTGATGTCCGAATGTGTAGCGTCCGGACTGACTTACCTATGATGTTGGCTCGAAACCTCAATGGGTCGAGTGATTTGAGGCTGTCATCCTTGTTGATTTTGGCGTCTAAATCTTGAACGCTTGAGAGGTTGAGCATATGCACGGGATACTATTACCAAATCCTCCGTTGTGGTCAGTTATACGGTCTGGATTTGCCTAATGTCCTCGAGTCACGGAGTAGGAAAAGGACGAAAACGTACCGCATCCTGCCAGCCGGTAACGGGCTGATAGCCGGCCTCCTCCTTTTTTGGCGCATTTCGATACACCTCCCGTAATCGGGATGGGTCGACGCGAAATAAGCCGAGCCTGTTACTCACTCCCAAGTGCAGCCTCAACTCCCGAGGTAGGTCCGCCTCCATGTTGAGCGCAGTGACCGTATCCCGCCAGATCTTCACCGGCTCCCATGTGTATTTCCTGGCCTCGATCTCCCCATCTGAAGGAAATGCGACAGGGAGCATGATTTCTTTCTCGGGTACAGCACGAAGCCCACGTGAGAGTTTTGCGCCCAGCCACGCCAGCGTGCCGCGCAGCCCTAGCTCCTGCCAGGGAAAGCGAATGACAATAAATGAGTCTCCCAGAGAAGTGGACTTGTCGGTGCTGTCCCCAGACAATAGCTGCTGACCTCCCCCTCGCGCCTTGCGGATATCAGGAACATAGAGATCCACACTGACGGTGGCAAGACGGGGAAACTCTCTCTGCGAGATGAACTGCCACGAATGCTCCTTCTTTGTCTCATCCGGGGTGTCGAGCCCGACCGGGAACGGACTCTTGAGCTGAGCAAAAGTGTAGAGGCGGTCGTATTCGAGACCGGCAGGTACAACTTTGCTCTCAAGTACCTCAATGCCTTTGCAGGATTTTACCGGGAAGATCCATAAGCTCTGAATTCTTCCTGGACCCTCAATGTTTGCTTTGTTGTCTCTTCCTGAGTGCCTGGGCAGTCGGCGTTGTGAGTCATCCAGGCCTAACTTGCTATGTGTTTGAAGGAGTGCCTCCGTCACCGAAGGCAGAGTCGGTGGGAGGTAAATAAGGATCGGAAGAATGAAAACAACAATGGTCACAGCAATCAGGAAGAGGCTTCCGGGACCAACGACTGGGCCAGGCGGCGGAAGGTCAGCCTGGTATCCCATTTCGACGTGAGAATGTGTGGGGATAAGGCAGTCTTCTGTCGTGCCGTGTGCGGTATTTGTAAGAGACACAAAACTTTGAGTTTCGACAGTCAGTCAACTGTAACGAATCAAGGTAGCAACGGTAATGTATAAGTCTTGACTGCCAACATGGATGAGGTTGTATCAACAAACAAATGGAAGGCAAGCGGAAGGGGAGTGATCGTTGTTCCGTACCAACTGAAGTTGTTCACTCGCTGACTCGGGCCTGGTTCGCTAGAGGTACCTAGAGGGTTACGAGTTCCAAAGTTGAGAGTTTGCAAAGTCACAAAGTAGATGAATTGCACTGCAATCCACGAAGAAGAGATGCTGTGACCAGCCTATCAAAGGGCCTCCTTGGACAGGTAGCTTTGGAGGACTTGCATCTTTTTTTTTTCTTTCTTTTTTTTTGTTGGGGGCTGCCCTGCACTCCCGGTGTACAAATAGCGCACTGCATTGGCAGGTGCCATGCAGGCGGGAGGTAACATGACTAACATTTTACGGCCAGGGTCGGTGCGTTGAGTGCAGGGACGACTCTTCGATCGTTGCATCATTCAGGTACAACTACAGCTACAATGCACGGAGTAATCAAGTACCGGTGGCTACCTCTAAGATAGATGTTGCTCATATGTGTCATGATGCAAAACTTGATTATACGATGTTTCTAAGAAAGAAAAAACATCCTGACTATGTGTTGATCAGATGCTGACAATGCAATGTGCGATAGGGCTGGAATGGAGGGTGCAAGGCTCGGTCGGGCCACCCAATTCCTGGCGTACTCACCGCAATCAGCTCTTTTCACGACCGGTCGGATTAAACCTTTTTTTTTTTTTTTTTTTCTTTCTTCCGGGATGGCTTCTGGGATTCAAGTGCTGTGCAGAGCGCCGAGGTGGTTGCAAGGACGAATCGGCCACAATACGGGCACTACACTACACCTTGGGTATACTCTTATTTACTTATCAAACTGTTTTGATGGTGCCTCTGAATCTAACTTCGAGACAGTTCCTGACTGGAAGAATTTCTGATGGACTCTGGCCGATGTGTTTTCAAAAGTTTGTGATCCCTGTTATAGTCTGGTAACAGCCTTTCCTAGCCAAGGCGAACCGTGTTGGACTGTTCATGCTCGGTTTATTCTCACGACCACATCGAGCGCCTGACGAACACCGACAGAACAATAATGCCGATCCAGACTATGCAGGTCTAAACCGATGCGGAAGTTGACCGTTATTCTGTGTAGTATCTCGCTACATACATGACACGCCCTGCAGGCTTCTGTGATTCCGGATTGTCGAGTCATCCCGTTGAATTTCGATCGTAGTAGCTTGCGTAGTAATGGAAAACTTGTAGTTTAGTACTGAGTTGACGCACCCAACCGGCTCCAACGTTGTTTGCTGCTGAAGATGGAAGGTAAAGACACTTTTTGCTGATAAGGCAGGTCGAAAAGATGGTGCGGGCGGATGGTGTGGTTCTTGGCTTCCATCCCCCCCCCCCCCCAGCTGTCTATCTGCGTTGTTCTTTGGTGAACAGGTTGATGGTGTTCCTGCAGACTCTACACCCTCTCAGCGCCCCTGTATCATTGTTCAGCGTAGTATCCCGCAGATATTCCCAGCGAGCTTCATTGTCAAGCTACTACCGACCCCGAGGGAGGTCGGTGTCTCGCACTTTCTTCTGCGGTCATTGTGGACTTGACATTGCAGGCAAACACGCGCTCCCTGATCTTCCAACGGAGATACTTCGTCAGAAAACGCAACTGGGCAGGTGGGTCTAACAATGCGCATGTGAAGTACATTCACAATGGGGTGTTCTTATTTGTAGCGGTTTACTGAATATAAATGACCAGACTAGAGAGGACTGATCCAGATGTTAGCTCATCTGCCGACCACTTGCTGCTGGATGTGGTCATGTAACAGAAGTGTCAAAAGTTCAAGTGATGAGAGAAACAAAGCTGCCGTCGGACTCGGACATGATGGAACCAGCTTCAACATGTGACGAGGCTGCGCAGGCTACTACCCTGATGCCGTCAATATCACCGAGTTGTATGGTTCACTATGTCATACCCTGGGGCCTAGACTGGTAGGTACGAGAAAGCCAGTCTTATGTTGCAGTGATATTAGGAGTCTGTGGAGATATTAACGGGTTTAATATCAAGTCATAGCCGCTCAATAAGGGGAAAGTGACAGAATAGGGTAGTTGTGTGTGGGTCATATTGAAGCACCATGAAAAGAGCCTCCAAGGTTTAATGCCTTTGAATCATGAATAAAGGCGCAAATGCTGATTAATCGGGTACGTGTGGTATATTGCCAACGTTGATTCATCGAGGGTCGTCTGGTATGTGATATGCTAGATGAAGACACCGAAGGAGGAAAGGGAAAAGACGGCGATGATGGCATCAACGAACACAAACAGAATGAGCTCCAAAGAATTTAAGTACAGTAATGTGCCCTGTAAATGCAAGTGGGGCGTACAGCCAAATTCCTTGCATTTATTGGGTTCTGGCATTTATTGGTATGGGAACAGGAGGCTTGTGACTGCCAGTAATAGCTCTGATAAGGGGTTCTGATAGCTGGTGACAGCCCCAATATGGGTAACAGGGGTGCCACAACCCCCTGTAAGCTACCCTCTTGGCTGCAAATTTATATGGCGGGCCGGCTGGCAGCTAGCACTTAGTAGCTAGCAGGCCTACCATACTAAAATAATCCGTGCACAGAAATGCCTAGCAATTACTGGGTATTAGCATTTATTGGGTCTAGCATTTACAGGGCACATTACTGTAACCGGATTCGGACATGATGCAAGCAGCAGTGTATATACACTACAGTAGAGGGGTAACCTCGCCGAAGAATCTTTGCGGCCCGTTGCTCGACAGGAACGCACCGGATCTTGTGCCGAAGTCGTTTTTGTTCCGTCTTTCCTGGCTACACTACGTGTACAGGTAAGATTAGGACGGCATCCGAATGCCACACCCCCTGTCGTGCTGATTGTCAGACTCTTCGATGGCACAGGGCAATAAGGTGGCGATTCCAGTTCCATCGATGCGTGTGTGCTCATCTTCGGGTATCCAAGATGTCGGGTTTGCTGGGCAGCCGCTCTAAGAGGTAACTGTTCCCGACACCATTGGCCAGAGCCGGTTCCTTCTTACTTCCATGGATGTAATAGTCACCCGCTATGGTAAAAGTGCCGCTCTCGTGTGTCGTAATCTCCAAAATGAATGACAGGTTGATCCTTCCGGAGCACAGCACGAAAGTCACTCTGGTTAAATGATGCAATTTATGGGAAGGGGGTACCAATGCAACTCTGCGAAATGTCAACAGTGAGCCGGACGAGGATTGTACGTAGAAGGCGCAATTTCATTGCATCGCCTGACGCTCCAGTTTGCAGTATTTCGTATTTGTATTTCCTGGCGGATGATAGAAAAAGCCTCTCTGAATTCCCATCGATGCGTTACACTGACTATAAAGGAACAACCAACCCCTGTCAAACGTCAACACGAGTTGTAGTAGTGTATGTATGTGATGTATGTGTAGTGTATCTCTGGAGTTGTCTGTGAATGTGATTGTGTCAGATTGCTCGTTGACCTTTCCCCAAAAATTCGCCGCTCCGCAAATACCCCTGGCAATGGACGGTGGACCCTTGAAGCTGCCCCTGGACACAGAACCTTTAGCGACGAGCGTAGAACATACACCTCTTCGGGCCGTCAAGACACTTGTACGTTCCACACCATACCGACCACATGGCATAACAAGGTCGTGGCCATCTTGCATAAACTTGGCTCGACCCAAAAAGAGATGCTCATTTCGATCTCCCACCAGACTCCAATGGATGGGTTGGACTTCTAGAAGCTTGGAAGAGCCTCCTGATCCGTTGCATTCTCTCACCCGCGGTGTGTTCTCGAATCGAGCTAGAACACCGAGGCACGCGAGGTAGGATGTTCCATACACTGCTGACTGCCATCGAGATGGCCTCGGAGGCGTTTTGGTAAAGGGGGCCACTAACTGGATTGAGCAACGGAATCCAAAGACTTTTGGCCTGCACCTAGTAGTTCATGATAACCCAACGGCCATTCCGTCCTACTTGCCATCCTATTATCTGCAGGCCTTAGCGAATGCTTCCTGCTCTTACCTCTAGCCACCTGCAAAGTAACCTACTTCTGAGCCCTTTCTGTGCAACTCCCGCCGTATCCCGTCTTTGACAGTACCTGGCACCCTGGGTATCAGCAAATACCAACCCGGCCCTGGTTTTGCTGGGAACCACGAAAGCAACAAGTGGAAGTCCAGAGCCGATCCTCCTGATTGGCATGGGTAAAAACAGGTAAAGGAGCCGCGGACGTGACGCCGGTACTGGTATGCCGTTCGTGAGCCTTGAATACGTCGAGGTCTGTAAACTATGTAGAGATACATAGGTAGGTAGCTCCATGCCTATAGCGCACGGATGCTATAGAGGTGCCTCTGGGCCAAACCACCAGCCTTTTTGGTCACAACACCGGCGGCAGGCACTATCGACATGCAGCACATTGTCCAGCCCGGTTTCCGCGGGGATATCCATGGTTGGGGAAGGAATTTGCAATTCGCGCTTGGTGGGACTCCCCGAATTGCTGGTTCAATCGCGTAATCGTGGTCTTGTTAAGAAAGAGCAAAAAAAAAGCAAGGTCCATTAGAAGGGTTGGGCTTTGGGCAAGGCTCGCAAGGACCGTCCTCTCCCCGCCAATGCCATCCAAACACACCTGCTCACCTCACGCAACCCACTTTGACTCGGCGTGTAGGTAGGTACACTTGGCTCATGACGGGAACACCACGGAAGCCCATTACATATTCTCTCCAAGGTCGCTGGACCCTTTCAGTTGGAATGCCCCTTCGCGCGGCCTGTGGACGGCCAACTTACAGACCAAGACAAGGCACGACTCGGACTTGTCAAACCTCCATTGTCGCGGGCTGCGCCGCGATCGGCACCCCGTACCCACGGACATGCTGTTGGCAAGCGGAAAGAGCCAAGACTTGTCCCAAGGAAACGCCAGCCCAAGCAGGGCTAAGCGGGTGGAGATAAGGTGAGTATTGAAGTGGATCGCAGAGGTGAAATTACGAGCCAGTGGAAGGGCATGGCACCATAACCCCACACCGTACAGGTTCCAGATCGCTGTGCCACACCAGCGGCAGCCGCTCCGGAGGACGGTCCATGCTGCCAGGACCCATTCAAGGCCAGTGACAGGGGCAGTCCGCCCCCCCTCCCATCAGGCGTGATCCACTTTGATAAAGTTGACCCAATTCCAACCACTGCCATACTACACTACACTGCAGTGTCATGCGAAGGAGCCCTTTGAGAGTCGACAGGAACGACGACCATCTCCCGTCTCATCAACACGGACTCACTCCAAGCTCCTCGATCTTGACCCCCGCCTACCCCCGATGGTGCCGGTGGACGACTATTGCAAGTGGGCTATCAATCAGCTTGATCAAGCTTCACAAATCCCACAAGACAATGGCAGCTCAATGACGGTGTGTTCCAAGCCCTCAACGGCCGAGATTCACGGCTGAATTTGTACATGCGTCTTCCACGCGCTGGGCGGTTGTGCGGGGGGCTGCATGGAGTCAGAACTCGAAGACGAACTAACAAGGTGACCGGAGTCAGTTCACTTTGTCAGACCCATGACCCATCCTCACTCAGCGTCTCCGATGTTGACCCCTGGTCAGAGAGATTCAATGTGCGTCACAGTCAAGGACCCACTGCCATGGCGCTGTGTTCAGTGGTGGTGGAGCAGCATGGCAAGGAAACCCCGAGACTTCTCATTGGCCCTTCAATCTCTCGCTCTCCGGTACCAATTGTTTTCTCCACGCAATAGCCCACCGCGTGCTGTTTGGGATCAGTCGTTCTGCTCGACGGCTGCTCCGAACAACTTTGTAAAATACACAGTCTGATCCACTGTCTCGTCGTCAAGCTCTCGCCCTCCAGTACGAAACACAGCTAGACCTATAAGCAGCTAAAGACCTAGCATCTTGACGGGGTTCGAGGTTCCTCGGTACTTGGCAGGTCCGACAAGGTGGTGAGAGCTAGGTCCTCGGTACTGTACAGACGTGGTTGACTTTTGACACCGCCCAGCCGCACTGAAGTCCTTCCTTCCCGCCTGGGCCACCCTCCCTTGACAGATCCCTGTCCTATGTATTTGACTGAGCTCCCAGAGCTACCTACATCTTGCAGTACACTAGTACGCATTGTTGTGTGCCTCCTTTGGCGGACTGGCACTGGCAATGGGACTGACTGATAGTACACTACGTACTTTGCTCCCAACCCTGTTTGCTCCCCACCGCGTCGACGTGGGCTCTACTGGGTCATGTACACCACTGTTCTGTCGAATCACCCATATTCGTGAAAGTGAGGGGGCAGTGGAAAATCCACACCTCAGCCGTCACAGACATCCTCAACACTCTCCGGCCTTGATGTGGTTACGGATCACATATCATCCGCTCTTCTCCGCCTTAGTTCCTCTCTACGGGAAACTCCGGTGGCTTGTAGAGTACAGCTCAAGCCCTCAACCCTGCTTCAACTCCATCAACCATATGGCTGACTGTTACAGGAGCCAGTGTGAAAAAGAAACAAGGAGAGAAAAAAAAAACACAAGAGCAGGAATCAGGGAACACTACATTCACCTCGGAACAAGACGGTCTAGCTCGGAGCGAAAATATTTTTACAGTGAAAAATGAGCTACTAAGCTTAATCCATGCTGCATATCTAAATCTCAGCTCCCTAGAGTTGGCGATAGTCCAGCTGTTGCGGTTGAGCTACGATGGATTCCCTGGCAGGCATATGGGTGTCGGATATCTATCTGCCTCGGTCTTGGGATAGGTCTTTGCGGTTTTCTTCGCTTGCTGTTGTTGCCAAATGTTCACATACCCGGCATTCAAGCCGTATGATATTTGACTCTTCAACTCGACGATATCCTTGTGGGGAAACCCTTACGACTGAGATTTGCGTGAATGTGGCTAAGCTGGGGTTGAACAAAAAGACAACGTCCCCCCCGCGGACACCTCTTAGCCCCTTGTGTCTACTCGGGACCCTTGCTGATCATGGATAGTTATCCTGGCCATTGGAGTTTCTTCACCGGCTACCATCGACTGATCGACTAGCACCCCCAAGGGAATGAGTACATGTGAGGCTACTGACGCTTCTACTTCCTCCTCGTCCCACGGACCTTTCACTGGTCCCCAAACACTCGTCGCTTCCCCGGGAATGCAACCACGATTTCTCTCTTCGTTTCTCTGGTAGCTTCCTCCAGATCCGACCCGTGGTGAACATTGTCACAGTTCCGGATATATCGAGATATGGGGGTATAATCGGTCTCACCCACCCCCGGTCGAGCGGTCCAGCTATCTTCACCGTCACCCAGTTCACCCCCCTTAGACTTTCTCGACGAGCAACGCACTGGCGATTGCCTTTAGTTGGATGTGTGTCCATGTCACCACGGTGCCGAGCTACTTACCTCATCTGATTCCCATATCAAACAAGGGCAAGACGTATACCTCCTGATCCATGTTCCCTTCTGCTTACCCACACGCAGCCGGTAGGTACTTAGAGCTACAGGGATACCTTCAACTTCTTATTCCGCCAGCGATTACTTGGTAGGAACTCACCCGCATACCCGCCCTCTTACCAGTGGTTCATCGGACGATCACACTTCTAACCAAACATCGACACCCCTCAAGCTAGTAGCACCTTCCTTGAAAACTAAGCCATCGGGAGAGCCCTGAGAGCCGCTTCATCCCCGCCAACAGTCATACATATCGACTTCTCATGCACGTCCCCTTTGCTTTCTACCTGCTGGGAGAAAAGTCTTGCCACTGGCAAGCTGCCTAACTATTTTGTAGCCAGCTATGCTTGAGAATAATCTTCCTAGCTTAGCAGATCTACTTTCAACCAAGGATACACTCCCTAACCCTATGAGGAAGCCGGCCACCTACCATACACGCCCTGCGAGGTTTTCCGGATCCCTTCACAATACCCTAATGTGGACCCCCGATTTACGCGGATCACGAAGCTTCTAATCTCCTGGGCCTTACGACAAGGCGGCCTTGTGGCATTGCCAGATAAATCATATCAACCAACAATACATCGAGTCACTCCTCTAATTCAGTTATCCTGCACATCAAATCATCTTTTTTCACCTTACCCTGACTAGATGGACATCTCTCAAGCTCTGAGTTATCCCGTATCAACAATCTCCTGACGAAACCTTCCACCCACGATCAACCAGCTACAGCTCGCACATCTACACAAGTCTTACCTGTCTGCCATATGCGGTGTAAGCCAGAATATCTTATCAGAGGCGAGTCTTGAGTACGACAAGTTCAATGTGGTCCGAAAACAGTCCCACGAACTAAACACGGAACCTGGGATTTGGATAGATTCCTCGTGTACGGACGAACATCGACAAGCAATTGTAGCACGCTCAGCAAAAACCTTCCGCGTTACCATCATGAGCGACTATTATCACCACTTCCTCACCTCGATGGCAGGTGTCGGAGGAGACCCTAGTCTAAGCCAACATGGCGCTTCGATACCTGTGCAACAAGCCCCAGTATTAAGCTTGGGGACGACCGCTTACCAAAACCTCGGCGGTTTTTTCAACGGATATGCGGAGCCTATCATGTTCAGTGCACCTAAGGCTCAAAGAAGCCGTCGCAAGTCTGCGCCTGGATTGGATCACATCAAACATCGACGCACGAGGTCAGGCTGCTATACTTGCAGGAGCAGGCGAGTCAAGGTAGTTTACCCTGGCAACCAACGGATGATAGCACTGCTAACGGGTTATAGTGTGATGAAACCCACCCTGTCTGCGAGAGTGCGCCGACCAGCCTTCCTAGTAGCCGGTATCAACATGCTGACGTTACCTTAGGATGCAGAAAGGGAAACCGAGAGTGTGTCTATCCCGAACCAGCACCACCCAAGGGATCCGTGAAAGATTCATCAGGCCAGAGCCAGCAGGAGAGCCCTACATCTTCTCGCGGGGATGACGATGACGACGAGACTGGACACGATGGATCATTGACACCGATAATGGATGAGGATGAAGAAGAAGAAGCCGAAAGCGCAACAATGCAATCCTCAACACCGACCATTCCTCCAACTCCTTTAAGCGCACCGGCAACATCACTAAGTTTCAACCATGGATCCATGAACGCTAGGCAGGGGCTAGAGGGGGACGTACAGTTCTATCTCAACTACTACCGTGACAATATCACGCACTATCACTACTCCGTGGTGAATGACCACGACAACTTTTTCCAGGAGATGTTGACTGAATTGGCAATTCAGGACGAGGGCCTTCTCTATGCCGTGGTCGGGTTTGCAGCCTACCATTATACTCTACAGAGTCCGATAGGAGAGATCAAGGACTTCTTGCATTTTTATAACCGCAGCGTTACTCTACTGCTGAGATTCTTGAAAAGAAAAGAACGCCATACGGAGATGACGCTATTAACCATCCTACAACTTGCCACCATTGAGGTGAGTATAGCATATCTCCCTTACATGGACGGGTATAGATAGGGGCTGACAGTCCGCAAGGAATACCTCGGCGACTGGGTCAACCTCATGGGCCATCAGAAGGCTGCCCTAGAAGTACTGACCGAATTGTACACGCCACAAACGGTCATGCAGACTGTTGTAGGGCGCATGATTCTGACGTGGTATACACGGTTCGACGTGTTTACTGGCATAATGGCCAGCTCCGAAACTATGCTTCCTCGGGAATGGTTCACAGCTTTTGTCGATTACTACGAGGTTCGAGCGGCAGAAAACCCTGACGAACTATCCTACAAAACCGAGGTGTGTTCAGGGCGACTACGCATGATATCAATGGAGATGTCACTCTTGTTCGGGAGAAGCGCCAGGCATCAAGTGACCGAAGAAGAGTATACCGCCGAGCACCGTCGATTATACAACGCCCTCCACGAGTGGAAAAACAGCTGGGATCCTGCCTTGGTAAATCCAGAGTTCCTCGTAGCTGATGTATCGATGAACGGAGCCTCAGACACGGATCGAATCTTTCAGCCACTCACACCAGGCTTGCTTTTCCGGCCTCCCCTCTTTACCTCGACGCTCTTGACTTGCGAATGGAATTCGATTACCCTGATGCACGGAAGCCAGGGCACGTCAGACCCCTCGAGCGAGACTCTGGAGAAGTTGAGGGAACACGCATATGTGATATGCCAGATTTGCGAGGCAGTCGAGACCTGGCCCCTTAGTCCTGCGGGGAGCCTGATAATTCTGCAACCATGTCTCGGTATCGCTGCGTTATTTGTTCCCCAGGAGGAGGCCTACCAGCTCTGGATCAGGAAGAAATTCGCATTGCTCGAAAGAATGGGGTGAGTACAAAAACACTTTCATCTTCGTTCGTTTACCAACAAGAGTTTGTTATGGCAATCATGGCACGAAAAACGAGCACTTTCAACATTCGGCTCTTCGTCCCACTACACGCACGCTGACTGAACGATTTATTTTTCAAACAGGTACATATCACCCGGAACAATGCGCCTAAGAATGGCGGAGCTCTTCCGTGACGGGAGCTGTCTCCGTTGGTGGTTACCGAACGACGAAGGATTCACGCCCATGCTGCAAAGCATCCGGGCCTTTGCAGACGAGCGAAACGCGATGGCTGTGTCGACACAGAGCGAGAATTTGCGACAGATACGTTCCGTTTTCTCCAGGATGAATATTCGACGAGCAGCCATGGACCAGGGCGAGGGCCAGTTGAGCGATGGGGTCAATACTATGCTTTTGGAATAAGAAGAGTGTAGATTGACAGGACAGGACAGGACAGGACAGTACCGGACAGGAGAATCGTTTGCGTATTGAATTCCGTGTCCCATCGGCCGAGCTATATGAACCTAATAAGGCTACGACCGCTGTTACGTTCCAGATTGGACGATTGTCGTTTCGTCGCTGCGGCTTATACACTAATCAGTAGCCCTTGCGAATTAAGAGATCAATCGATTCAGACACAGCGACAAGAGGACAGTGAAGGGACCAACAATACAACCCAGCAACTTTTTCGGTGAAAACTTTGCCTCTAAAAGAGTGATCCGTCTTCACGCTTGGTGCTATCTTTCTCCCCCTGATGGAGCAGCATGCAGGGTAATAATGATATATCCCTTGCGTAAGCAGACAAAAAAAAAACCGGACGTTGACGGACAAGCAGGAAGATCGGATGCGGCTCATTTGTCCCATGTCGTGAGACTGAGACAATCTCTCTGTAAAACCACTGGACTGTTAGTGCAAAGCTGGAAGGAACGTTCCGTCTTCCTGTAGCTTTGAGGGGCGGGATACGGGATCTCAAACGGACGGCTCATCAGTTACCAGTCACCAGTTAACCATTCGGCCAAGTCCATGCGTGCCACGGCTCTGCAAAGTTTTGGTACTACCTACATGCTACCCAGTCTCAACCGTTACGAGGAGGTAAACCATGGATCACCACTCTGGTTTCGGCAACAAGTCAGCAACGGCTAACAGCTTCGAACAATATCGGCTACCGAAGAACTCCCGATTGGTCACCTCTTCTCCCACACCCCCCCCTTCCTTTGGTACTTTCCTAGGTCTCTTCTTTTCAGGGTCTTTTGTACGTGAACCTGACCACACACATGTACTTTACCTTTATCTTCTGGCTCTCGGTTGTTTCTTTTCTTGTTAGTATTTATAACTCTCAAAGTTTCCAGCTTGTATCACTCGATCACGTTTGTTCAACAGACAGCCACGATGGTGCTACACGTTCAAGCGCTAGCGTGATTTGAGTTTGAGATTGGCCGGCACGTCTGTGGTTAGGTAGAATACTTCTTCTCTTCTTTTACGTTATTTGTCTTCTTTATCGTTTTATTTCATTCTAGCATGTATCACCTCATAAGTTAGACCTTGTAGTGGAGCAGCTTGATTCGCCGTTGCGGTAGGCGGTAGGCTGATAGATCGGCATAGACATACCACTGGTTGAGACAGGAGTAAATAAAAGAAAAGGGGGCGGTAAATGGGTTGGGTGTAAACCGAACGTGGAGTCGTACGCATCAGTTCCTGTGGCCTCTTTCACCTCGAAGTGTACAATTACAAGGATGATGCCATTATTTTTATTTTTATTTTTTCTTAATTTTTTTTTAATGCTCCCGTACTTCTTGTTTCGCTTTTTTTCGGTTTTTTTTTTTTTTCTTTTTTTTTTTTTTTTTATCTAACACTATATTTTTTTTTCTAGAAAGTATCACTAGTCTTAGTAGTTAGCATGAGTGTCCATAGTCTTCCTTGGAAGTATGAGGAAATAATGCGGGCAGAACAGGATATGTGTTTTTTCTTTCACAATCGTAGCACAGCTTGTGCTTTCAGCCATGGATTGTGCAGCCAATGAGAAGCTCCATGCGTGAGACTAGCACGGCCAATTCAATCATTCCGACCATTTCTCCTCGTCTTCGCTTTCCTGTCCTTAACAATGGCTCTTACGCTAGGTTATAACAGTGCCTACAGTAGTATTCATACAAAGGCAAATCTTTCACATTGGAAATTCCCAGTGATGGACTACCTAATCCGCCTATGCGACCTGCTCAGCACCAGGAGCCATGGCCTCTTCGTCCGACTTTTCCACCTTTGTCTCGTCTTTTCCCTCCTCCTTTTCGCCCTTCTCTTCCTCCTCCTGGGCGACGTTCTCGTCAGACTGCGCCAAGTCGTTTTCGGCGTGGCTTGGTTTCGTTTCATCTTGGTCATCATCTTGCTTCTCTCTGGACCCATTGTCAGTAGATTCCAGTATCGGTTCCACGCCCACCGGCTGCTCATCGATCCCAGCATCGGCAACAGGTTTCATCGTGGAGTCTTTGTTCGACTCATGACCGTCTCCAATGGGATCATCATTGGCGGATCCAGAAGAAGATGCCGGCGTATCAACATCACTATCCTCCGACTCCGACACTGATGTTGGAATTGCACTTGTTCCGACCTCATTATGCGGAGTAACATCTGCTGATTTTGGACTTTCTTGATCCTCATTGCCTTGCTCTCCTACTTCATCATCATCGACTTTTGCTGATTCCTCGTTGGACTCATCAGGAGTGCTTTTCTTTGTCGGCTGATCTTCAGACGTAGGATCGCCCTCTTGTACAGGCTCCTGAACGCTTGCTGTCGCCTCCTCTGTGTCCTTTTCCGACTCCGGGTGTCGCAATTCGGCAGGAGGCAAGGCTGCTGCTATATTGGCGGGTGCCGAATCTTCGGTTTTCGTCATGTCGGCTTCACTCGTTGGCTGATGGGGCGTATGCGGCTCTGTAGTCCCATGGCACACAATGACGGGAATGTTGTCTGTTTCCATCTCTTCTTCTGTGGCCGGCTCCAGTTCGGGAACCCTTCTGCGCGTGACCTTTGATTTTCCTCTTAAGTTCGCTGTGCTGCTGCCATCCTCTTCCTCCGCCTCCGGAACAGTCGTCACAGCGCTGCCAACCGAAGGGCTGCTCTTAATATGCCGCCTCGTGTTAGTCCTCATTGCGGCAGTATTGAGACCATCATCATCAGCGGGTTCCCCAACAGGTGTTCCCCGGCTTGCTATAACCGGAGGCTTCGCAAAAGTAACGGACCCCCCCGGCTGATGTGTCTTGGGTTTCTCTATCACGACTTGAGGAACGTCGTCGTCGCCCGATGAGGTTGTTGTGCTCTCCAACCCTTCAGCCTCGGGAGGAAGCTGAAAGTTCTCGTGTTGGAGAGTCTTGAAGTGATCGCAGACGGTTTTGAAAAAGATATAAAGGCCCGTTTGGCCCTCGACAGCCCAGAAAACGCTGCGGTGTTGGAACCACGCATGGGCAAACATGCGATGTAGACGGCGAAAGATATTGACCAAGTGCCTCAAAGCCAGATTCTTGTCATGGGTGTCAACGAAGAAGCGGCTAGGGAAGTACTTGGGATTGGTCACAGTGTTGGCCGCCCAATCAAGGGTGTGACAGCAATAGTCGATTGCGCAGCAGCTCTTGGGTGCATCATGCACGGCACATAAAAACTGCCACTCGCTTGCACGCATCTCGGGGCAGGTGGCAGCGCTGCAGGGCGGCTCATCGAACAGAAAACCAACAATGAGGTTGTTGCATTGTGTGATCAAAAAGCGGCACAGCTCATACAGCCATACCGTCTTGTCGATATGAGCAGGGGGCGTTGCGAGAATCTTGGCTGTCTCCCTTGTGATGGGAGTTGTGTTACCGGCCGTATGGTGCCAATGGAGGGCTGCCAAGTGCTCCTGGAGTTGGAAGGCCGAGTCAAGCTGCGCGTCGCAAGACAGAACATGTCAGCCTTGTTCTTGAAGAGATCAATGACTTTTCAGGCAGCGGACGAACCTGGTGCAGAGGAACCAACGGAGGGCCGGCAGCCATGTCGGCGGCCTTGGTGCCCGGATGGATGCGACGATGAGACAGCAGGTCTATCGTAGGCATCTCGTATTGCTGCGCCTGGCGGTTGGCGATCGGGCCCATGGCTGGCGATGTGGGACCAATCTGGATCTCGGGGGCAGGCGGCGGGCTTGGGAGCCGAGGAGAGCTCGGAGGAAGCGACATGATGGTGCTTCGTTATTTGGGCGCGATGTTGGATATGGGTGAAGTTGATACGCGAAGCTGGACAGCTACAACCGCGCGCAAGCAATGCCCAGCTGTGTCTGTCGTAACGACTTCCTTGTTCGTACTATTCGCCCGTTAGTTCGGCTCGACTTCCTGGCGGTATGGATGGTAGATGATTCTGCTCGGATCGATATGCCGGTGGAACAGATGAATCGAGACGGGCTGGGTCGCGTGCAGGCAGGCAGGATGAAAGGAAGAGTTGCCCGGATGAGGTCGTGGAGGTAGATTGACAGTCCAGACGGGATCTGGGGTCCACGGCGGTGCCGTCAATGGGATTCCTTGGGAAACTGCCCCTGCTGCCCCTGTGCTGAGCTGGAGCTTCGAGCCTACAGGTACGCCAGTGGAAGGCGGGAATACGGGGAACTCACCCTGTACCTGGCGCTAAGATCAAGGAGGTGCCCAAGCTCCCAATTGCTCCTCGTGCTGTCTGACTGTAAATTACGGTATCTGTGACAGATGTGCGTCATGCCTCTGGTAACCTAAAGGGCGTGGGCCAACAATCAGTTCTCCCCGGCAGCCTGACAAACATTACATACCTAGTGTACTGCGTAGGTAGAGGTATAAATACGTACCACTGGTCCCTGCGAGAAACCTATGGGTAAGGTGATTTAAACACTACACTTCTCGACAACGTTTTGTGTAATTCCACGACCAAGAACCTCCGCCCAGAGGACCTCAATTCAATATGGACTACGACGACGATGCTCCCCCGGATCTCATAGAGACCAACGAGGTCATACTCGAGGAGGAGAAGCCAGTCAAGGTTCCCATTACCATAGTAACAGGTATGCATTTTCCTACCAATCTCATTGTGGTCGACTTCGCGCTGATTATAACCTCAGGCTACCTTGGAGCGGGCAAGACCACCCTCTTGAACTATATATTGACTGCCCAGCATGGAAAGAAAATTGCCGTCATCATGAACGGTATGGCTGAACATCCCGGGCCTCGCCTTGCATTGGGATAGTTAGCTGACGATGAGATGTGTAGAGTTCGGAGACTGTTTGTCATCCTCTTGCTGCAACCCCTCAGCATAGGTATCTCTGCTAACGCTCAATCTAGCCCTGGACATTGAAAAGTCCCTCACCGTAAACAAGGATGGCGAGTCAGTCGAGGAATGGATGGAAGTTGGCAATGGCTGCATCTGCTGTTCGGTGAAGTGAGTTACCGATGATTGAGCACTTTGTCCCCATCAGCTATAGTACACTGACACTGACCAACATATGATCGTTTCAGAGACACCGGAGTGAATGCCATCGAGTCCCTAATGGAAAAGAAAGGAAAGTTCGACTACATCTTACTCGAAACCACCGGGCTCGCAGACCCAGGGAATCTTGCACCCCTCTTCTGGATGGATGATGGCTTGGGAAGCACCATCTACCTCGACGGCATTGTGACGTTGGTGGACGCCAAAAACATCCTTCGGAGCTTGGATGATCCAGCTGGCAAGGTTGAGGGACACGAAGAGACCGATGAACATGGGCATGGGCCAGTCATGACGACCGCTCATGTCCAGATTTCACATGCTGATGTCATCGTAATCAACAAGTCAGACCTGGTCAGCGAGGACGAGCTGCAGGCCGTCCAGGACAGAATCACGTCCATCAACGGGCTCGCCAAAATCCACATAACCAAACAGAGTGTGGTTCCAGAATTGGAAGGATTCTTGCTCGACCTGCACGCTTATGACCGCGTGGAGGAATTGGACAAGCCAAGTCTGGGCCATAGCCATCTCGACAAGGTCAGAGACTCCCTTTCATCTCTCGTGAATGGCTAGCAGGACCTGGACATTTCCTGATTTCATATGACCAACTAACATGAGTTTAGACGATATCAACATTATCTATTCCTCTACCGGTCCTGACATCAGCACAAGTCGAAAAACTGGATGCTTGGCTGAGGTCGGTTCTTTGGGAGAACATTCTTCCTGGACATGAGAACGCTGCTGACCGGCCAGCTTTCGAAATCCATCGATTGAAGGGTCGGTTGGTGCTCGAGGACGGTAGCGAGAAGATAGTTCAGGGAGTAAGGGAAATCTTTGAAATTTTCGAGGGCCCAGACAAGAGTCAGGGTCAAGCTGCGGGTAAACTTGTGCTCATCGGGCGTCATCTAGTCGATTTCGACTTCCCAACAAGCCTCCAGAAAACTGTTGATCTTGCCAAAAGCACCTAGCCGTCAGGCACCATATCATAGATGTAGGAAATCAGAACGGAATCCTGACGAACATTGCCTCATACGCGTCAGACCGGTGATGAAAGTCTTAATATTGTTTATACGCTGTGGAATTCTGGAAGCAGTGTGCATCCTGCTCTTGATACGGACCGTGGAGAGAAGTCCCATTGGAGGGTCTTCGAATATTTGAGAATAGGGGGACGTCGATGGCCTGGAAGCACGGACCACATATCCTCAAGTTTCCGTCACCTGGACCTTGATCTTGAAGTCTCTAAATCCATGAAAAGAGGGCTTTCAGTCCGCCGAATCAGCGGTTCTTGATCGGAATTGTCTTGCCAGCCTTTAGGTTTCCGTAGTTGTCAACGGTCAACCCGGGCCTGCCAGTGTGCATACCATAACGAAGTGACCTACCTGTAGTAACACCAAACTGGTATGTACCCAGGTACACTGCAGCGTCTCCACATCCCGTCCCAGATGGAGGTAGGGACCACTCACTGCACCTGCGCAGCCAGTGCGTGCAGCTCCCGCTCGTTTCCACAGCGCGACCGGGCATTCACCTGCAAACATCCATTCACTCTGGCAGCGCACCACGACACCACCGCAACCACTCGTCACCTTTTAATCGACGGCACAACTTGCTAATTGCGACAACCGGAAAACAACATTCGTTTTTGCTTCCTTCCGCTCGACCTCTCAGAGAGACTGGTCTTACAACCGCAGAATATCATGAATCGGCCAGGTACGGTGGCAATCCCGCCCTCTTCATTCCAACATATCGTCGACTACCCCGCTGTTTGCCCTGCTGCCCTGTCTTCTCGAAATCCGCGATCGCCGACAACCGCTGGATCATAACCACCGCCTACAACTCGCCTACCCGAAACAGATGCTGGACATTGGGCTGGATCGAGATCATGGACAGGCTGGTGGTGCCGCTGCCGAGGCGCCAGCGCGAGCGCATGGACGTTGCCGTCAATATGCTGCTTCTTTGTCCTGCCCGTAACTCGGACTACGGTGTTTGGCATGCAGTGTTCAAAGGCCGGCAACCACGACCAATTTATCTTTGTGCCCCGTCGCGACACCACTCACCAGCCTCTCACAAAGCTGTTCTCGACGTTATCGGTTCCGCTCTTTCCTACAGCGGCAGCGGCGCAGTCTCTCCTACTCCAGACATACACCCCTTATATTACATGCTGTTTTGAAGTTTGTGGACAAGGCTGTTCGATAATTGCTAACATTCTCTCGGATTGATAGGGGCAGTTCCCCAATCTTTGCGCGGCATGTCTGGCTTCGGAGGACAACAACAACAACCACAACAGTCTGGGCGTGGCGTAGCGAACAGGTTACCGAACGGAAAGCTAGGTCAGGACTTTGATAGGCTTTGGGTACAATTTGGCCCATGACTGACGATTAGTCTGGAAATAGGGGCCGTGAGCGGCGGTTCTGGCTGGGCGTTTGGCTCGGGCATGCCCATGGGCGGCAGTCCTGGTGTTCCTCCTGGTTCTGCCAGACAGTTGGGCGGCGGGAATGTCAGCTTTGCGCAAAGTCTAAGTGGGTCACAACCAGCGACCCCGTTGGATCTTTCGTAAGTCCTCGTTTATATCATGTTCACCTTGTCGAAATCGGGGGCTTGGGTAATACTGCAGCTCAGACTTTCCTCTCCCATAACCTCACGCCTCGCTCTCCTTACGCATCCCTGCAGCTGCTGTGTTTCCCTGTGCTAACATTACCCAGAGAGTTTCCCACTTTGTCCAACACGTCGCAGTTGTCGACGGCAAATCAGGCTTCAATGTGGTCCACGGGGGCTCGTAACCTCGGAGGAGCAGTACACCGCGGTCCTTCTACACCGCTTTCGCAGCAAGGGCAACAGGATGACTTTTTCTCGTCTCGACAACAATCGGCCCAAGGAGCTTTCAGGTTTGGAAACCAAGGGAACTCGGGGCAAACATCACAAACACCATCTAGTGTTACGGACGACTTTCCTCCGTTGAACAGGAGTGCAAACGGCGAATTAGGTGGCATGCCAGGTTTGGGATTCGGATCTACTCCATCGATTCACCCCAATCGGACAAATAATGGCTTGTTGAACGCGCTGACAGGGAGCACGCGCACCACAGACGGGCGTTCACCAACTGCAATTGGACGCCCGCACGACCAAAGGAGCCCGGTCAACGAGGAAGAAGGACGCCAAAAGCCGCCAGTGTATCGGGAGGACGGTATGGTTTCACGCTCTTCGGTGGGCGATGCCGTTTCGCAAGCAATTGGTACCAGGAACCCGCTCGGCGCAATTGGAAACGATCCTCCATCTGCTAAGGGCAAGGAGGAGGATAGGGACCGTACCAACGAAGTCCAAGATCCGTTGGAGGGCATGCCCGCCATCGACAAGTTTGGCTTGAAGGGTTTGCGCACCTTGATGAATAACTTCCCCGACTACAACTCCCTCATTATCGGGATCGATCCTTCCAGTTTGGGGTTGGAGCTGAACTCTTCTGAGTATGTGTAACCGGACTTTCCGCGAGCCCAAGTATCAAGCTGATCTTCTCCAGGCTGTATTCCACCCAAATCTACTCTATACTGGACGATGTCCCTCCCAGGCCGGCTGTGCCAAAGTTCAAGATACCCGAATGCTACATGGTCAAGAACGTACAGCCTATCGAGGCCAAGATTCAGAGCTTTAATGAGGAGACTTTGATGTGGATTTTCTACAGCTGCCCGGGCGACATCAAGCAGCAACTGGCTGCAGCTGAGCTGTAAGAATACTTTCAGTACCTTCCGTTTGATTTTCGTTATGGAGCTGACCAATCTACACAGAACTACGCGGAACTGGAGATGGCACAAGAAGCTTCAAGTGTGGCTTACCAAGGACGAGATGGGTAATACGGCTCAACTAAGCCCAGCTCATGAACGGGGTTACTATATCGTATGGGACACCGTGAACTGGCACAAGGAGCGGGTAAGTAGCGTGCCGTGGTTCGGCCTTTCGCTTATAGGTGGAATATGCTAACGACCTATCCAGAGAGAGTTTACTTTGTATTATTGTGATTTGGAGACCAACCTCGGCGTCCCAATGCCAGCAATAGGAGCATAAGCTTTCAGACTCATCGGCACGGCATGCATATGCATTCGTGCTTTGGGTTATAGGGAAAGGGCCAGCTCGACACGCCTCGAATGGGTATCCTTCGCAGGGGCGGACATACCTTGCGAGTATTCACCGGGTAGCTCTTTGAGCGGACTACATTGCTTAGGAGGGAGGTTATTAGATATCTGAACCTGCCGGATACAACCCAAGGTATAGCGCTGTTGAATCATCTATGGTCAAGGGGCTCGTCTCAGATGGGAAAAGTTAGAGATATTATGAGTTTCGGTCAGCGAAATTACATAGGAATACCAGCCGTACCGGACAGATCGTTATCTGCATAACAACCATGGTCGAAACAAGAACTGTTGCTTGATATTCAAATACTTCCAAGCTCCAACATCTGCGATCAAACTGTCTATATTTCGGTGCAAGCTTACGCGACGTCTTTCGTTTTGGTAATTACACGCAACCTCCTGGCTGTTACCAGTGCCTACTAACACGTGAAAGTTGTGTAATCATTCCGTTCATTGTTACGCTACGGTCGCAGGCTTGGCATTGCCCCACTGCGGCCGAATTCATGGATGTCACTGCTTTCCCCAACTGCCTCCTCATCACTCTCACCTGTGTACACTATATTCGTCTGTACATGGGAGGCAAACCAACGCTTACCTGTAATTTCGACTTCGCTGGCCACACTACTTATTTCGGGACCATCGTATCCATCAACTGCATCTCATCACAACGCATTCCTTTCTTTCATCCTCTCCTTGCCACCAACATCGACATCGACTGCCCTTGGCACGCGTCACCTCCCTCAATCCCGTTAGTCATCGGCATCGTCTTGCGACGCGCATCATACGTCAGGCGTTAGGGAGCGAAGCACTTTTCGACGGGGATTTTCAAGCAACACAAGCTAGAATTCGCCGGGACAAGAATACTAGATTTCCATTCTATAGATTTTACTCAGCAAACTCCCGCGGCTTCCCGGACTTAGCTGCCCAGTCGAAGGAGCCGGTTACTCAGCGACAGCCTAACTTCCACATCTCGCAAACGAACGATTGCGAGAGGGGTCAACAACAACCAAAGATAACAAATCACAATGGCAGAGGAAGAGATTAACATCCCTTCCCTGGTGATCGTACTGTTGGTCACTGGCCTAGCAGTACGCTACTTCTTCTTCAGCGGAAATGCGTCTTCGGCAAATCGCCAGCCGGGCGGGACAGGCGGCGCGACACCAGAGGAGTTGCAAAGACGGAGGGAACGAGAACGAGAAGCGGCGGTCGAAACGATACAACAGATGTTCCCACAGGTAGACAGACGGACTATCCTGTGGGATTTGCAGCGCCATGGGGGAAACTTGCAGGCTACAACAGAAAGGATTTTGGCGGGAAGAACGGAGACTGTAAGTTCCGACCTCTTTTTAATATTCCAAGCTTCGTTCTCCATGCCTCACAGGATGCGCTTTTGCTCGTTCTCTCGTAGAGGGCTTTTGCTAACAGCTGAGTGACAACCATCCTTTAGCCTCCGATCACCTTTCAGCCTCCGCCTCCACCCAGCTCGCCAGAGACAACCGCTGCTGCGCAGCAAAGTGCAGCTGCCGCCGCCGCCAGTAAATACGCGGAAAAGAAGGTCCATCCGGATCTGATCACAAGGTATAACCTGAGGGACAAACTCGCCAGCGCCCCTTCGGAGGATGCCGGGACGGCGGCGGCCGGCGCCCCAAAGACTGGAGGCTGGAGCTCGAATCGCGAGGAGAGGCAGTCGTTACTGCGGACGAGGAGGGATCAGATGATTATCGAAGCCAGAAGGAAAATGGAGGCTAAGATTGCGGCGGAGAAGGCGGCTGCTGCTGCTGCTTCGGGCTCCGCCGGCGGCGGGGATAACTGAAGGCCCATGGGCTTGAATTTTGGCTCTGTAAGGGGCAATTTGGGGTGGAACATGTTTGCATGTAATGAAACAGCGTATAGAACCGACAACACAACTCCAAAAGAGGAAAGGCTGGTGGAAGGGGTTTGAGGGAGTTATCACACACATGTCACAGTTTGGGGCGTGTATAGATTGTAAGAGACAAACTAGGCATCATGAGGCTGAACGTGGTCGGATAGATCGGAAGCGTCCTCTGTGGTCAATAGGGGTTATTTGGTGTTTCAGCGTAGCTACAACTTTGTACGAAGACATTCGTATTATGAGGTTGAAAGCCCGATACGTCGCCAGAGGTGGAATTGTTTTGGAGTCGACCATCGCAGCAAGGTACCTGACACTGCAGCTTGTCTCCAGATCTCATATGTGCGAGGTCAAACCCTACATCTCTCCTCAGTGGCAACATCCGGCGTTGACATCTTGCAGCCGCTCTTGGCCAGCCAAATGGGTAGCCCTTGCAACTTCCAAAATCAAATTTGAGAAGCTGGCCTTGGACCATCCAAGTCCGTCTCGAATAAACTGGAAGTTATCAACTGGTTATGCAGGATCAATCGGCATCCATGAAGCCAAATGAGGGAATAACATTCAGCCCCAAGGCAGTCCCGCCGACGCCTCCACATAGATGCCCTTCCTTATTGCGCTCAGTGTTCTCGATATCATCGCTCCAGCACCACATATCTCTATTTGGTGACGCGGAAATCCCCCCTACCAAGCTCAAACCCGCCTCCGCTCCATCCACACCTATGTCGGCAACACCACCACCCAAACGCGATATAACTGCCCCCAAGAAGATGTCAGAGGCTGGAACCGGATACTTTATGCCTGGCTTGGCCTCTCCAACGAGTACTTCGGAATGTGGACTCGTGCCATTTACAATAACGCCAAAGACGCGGGGAATCGATTGGCGATATGGAGCGCAAGGTGAGCAAACCCCAGCCAATTTTCTCTCGTGCTTCGTTTCGGTTGCTCCCAAGTTGGTCACTAACCTTGTTCGATCTTGACTGTCACTCTCTCCAGGCACAAGTCTCCTCGTGAACGCAGCCGAAGAATCGCGCCGCAGCGGGAACAGCACCTTCAGTTCCAACTTCGAGCGATCAACCTACATAACCGGTCTTCAGAACTTACTCAACGGACTACCACTGGACCTCCGAGAATCCGAAATAACCATACTGCAGCATGCCGTCCCGCCGGCGGTGGTGGCCAGGATCATCCAAGAGAGTAGCCCTACTGAGCACAACAAGCCAGAAGTAAAACATAAGGACGTCTACAGGGAAAACGTACTCCACAAGTTCCTCCTCTGGATTTTCTGCCTGGTTGATCGATGGGTCTGGTTCGTTTGGCCGAAACTGCTGTGTTTCTATGTTAGGATGAAACAGGTCAGTCAAGATCACGGACAAGAGGTGGCGGGCAGTCTAGGTAGAGGCGCGTTGTCGGTTGCTGGTGCCATCGTCTTCGTTGTGAACCAGGAACCTGTAACGGAGGCGGCGCGGGGAATTGGCAAATGGGTTTATGAGGGGGTTTCGGGAGCTGTGACGGATTTTGTGGCAATGAAGGTCGCTGAGAGGAGCGGAGGCAGCAACAAGAAGAAGAAGGAGGAGGAGGAGAAGGAGGAGGAGAAGGAAGGGGAGGAGGAGAAGGAAGGAGAGGAGGAGATCAAGTTGAAGGCATCTTGGTGGGAACGATACTTGTGGTAAGCGATCATGAGTACGACAACAGCGGCAAGAATTATTGGGATAGCGGTATCAAATTGGAGGTATTGATTGGGACCTAATTGGAATAGGAACATGCCTCAGACCATCATGTTTACATATGTCCAGTTTCCCACCTTCTCGGTGTTGAGTACTATATGCCCACGTGTAGAGGGATCGCTATGAGACGGAACGCAAGAGTGTGACGGCTGACCCGACGTTGCGAGATGAGCGGATCTATCTCATGTGAGGCCATGACGGAGACCAATGCTGAGAGAATCTGCTGGACAGATGCCACAGAGCCTGTCGAGAAGTCCAGCTGAGGTACCCTGAGCCGAAACTCGGAGCCGACTGGAATTTCATGTTATTCCGTAGCACGAAGCTGATATGAACACCTTTTGAACCTTTGCCGGCCTCTACAGCGTAGAGAAAGGAGATACTTGGTGTATCGTTTCCTGCGTAGTGTACATAGTGTAGACGAATGAGACAAGGACCAGGGAAGATTGAAGTGGGCAAAGGGGGAGGGTCCTGTTCGGCCCCATGTTTTGCGGCGATGATCGCTTTCCAGTGTTCCTGACTAGCAAATGTACCGTAAGGTAGCTCATACCTATCTGAAGGTGCACAGGTACACTTAGATACAGAGCCTCAAAGATGGGGCTCGGTGCGGAGTAACGGCTGATAAGATAAAGGCGGCTCATACGACAGGGATCTAACTTCAAGCTTCGACTTCGATAGCATGGAAATTTTTTTGCTGTTGCAGGTACCAGGCCCTTTAGCCACTTGCGCTCTCTTCCCATCTCTTGTTTTTTTTCCCACCTTTTCCGCCCATCATTCCCATCACACTCGACGCCGACAACGGTTTGACCGATTTCTCTGGTTTGATTGTCCGCCTCTTATCGTCCCCACCCACAATTAATCCATCAACCCAAGTCGTTGACGGATCCGAGTGTGCGCCGCCATCTTATCAGTCCCGTCCCGTCGCGTCGCTGTAGCCGTCGCCAACATGAGGACCAGCGTATTGCGCCAGGCCGGCCTCTGCCGTGCTGCCCTCGCTGCCCGCCATCTTCAGATCTCCTCCAAGCCCTCGGCCGCCCTCTTGAGCCAGGTCACCCGCGCCATCGCTGTCCAGTCCCTTCCCTCGGCCTTTCTTCCCCGCTTCTACTCGGCCGAGGCCACTGCGCAAAGCAACACTGCTGCCTCCAATGGCCTCGTTACCCGCTTTGCCGACCTCGCCGCTTTGGGTGTTCATGAGAACGTTGTCCGCGCCATCACTCATGGCATGGGCTACGAGAACATGACCGAAGTCCAGTCTATGACCATCAGCCCCGCTCTCAAGGGCAAGGACATGTATGCCTAGATCCGTCACCTCCATTTCCGCGCTTCCAAAGGTTGCTAACGTTAAGCTTCCAGTGTTGCTCAGGCCAAGACCGGAACTGGTAAGACACTTGGTTTCCTCGTCCCTGTGATCCAGAAGATCATCACCCAAGATCCCGACCTCGCCCACAGGTTTGGTGGCAAGAGAGCTCGTTCTGATGACATTCGCGCCATCATCATCTCGCCAACCCGCGAGCTTGCGGAGCAGATCGGAGAGGAGGCTCGTAAGTTGGTCAAGGGAACCGGTATTATCGTCCAGACTGCCGTTGGTGGTACCCAGAAGAACGCTATGCTGTACAAGACCCGTCAGCAGGGCTGCCATATCCTTGTCGGCACCCCCGGTCGCCTGAACGATCTGCTTTCCGACAGCCACAGCGGCATCGACGCCCCCAGACTCTCGACCCTTGTTCTCGACGAGGCCGATAGAATGCTCGAAGTTGGCTTCAATGAGGAGCTTCGCCAGATCATCAACTACCTTCCCGATCGCAAGGTTCTTCCCCGCCAGACTCTGCTTTACTCTGCCACCATTCCCAAGGATGTTGTTGGTCTCGCCAGAAGCTACATCGACAAGAACAACTTCGAATTCGTCCAGACCGTCAAGGCCGATGAGGTTCTGACCCACGACCGTATCCCTCAGTACATTGTTCCCTGCAAGGGTTTCGAGAACATTTACCCGGCCATGCTGGAGCTCATAGAGAAGGCACTCCACGAGTCCAAGACCAACCCCGAGGCTCTTCCTTTCAAGGCCATCGTCTTCTTGCCTACTACCGCTGAGGTTATCATGGCCAATGCGATCTTCAAGCGCCTTCAGTGGAAGTTCAAGCACATTCCCAAGACTTGGGACATTCACTCCAAGCTCACTCAGAACGCCAGAACTCGTGCCGCCGACGAGTTCAAGAACGCGCGTACCGGTATTCTCTTTTCTTCGGACGTTACCGCCAGAGGCATGGATTTCCCCAATGTTTCCCACGTCATCCAGACCCACATTCCCCCCAACAGGGAGCAGTACATTCACCGTCTCGGACGTACCGGCAGAGCCAACAAGCCTGGCCAGGGCTGGCTTATCGTTCCCGACATCGAGCTCCACGCGGCGAGAAGCAGACTTCCCGGTCTCCCCATCAAGCGTAATGACGAGCTCGAGTGCGCTTCCGTCAACGCCGCTGATTCCGGTGCTGACAAGCACGCCAACTTCCAGCACATCCTTGACGCGGCGTCCAGACTCCCAGAGGACCTCTTCAAGGACTGCTACTCGTCCTACCTCGGTGGCGCTCTCCAGGGCATTGATCGCCAAGCCTTGGTCTATGCTCTCAACGACCTCGCCAAGTTTGGTTGGGGCTTGTCGGAGCCCCCTGCCGTCCGCCAGAGCATCCTGAAGCACATGGGCCGTGTTCAAGGTCTGAGAGTCGAAACCAGAGAACATTCTATGCGCCCCATGGGTAGCGGACCTGGCCACCGCCGTGATTTCAACTCGCGCGGCCCCCGTCGCCAGTCCGATGATCCCTTCGAGAATGTCCTTCACAGGGCTCAGGATCTCGATCGCCGTCCCACCCGTCGCCAGCAGGCCAGCTTCTAAACTAAGAGCTGGGTCAAACTGTGCATTGGCGACGAATGGGTTGTTTGGTTTTTCCCGCTGAAAGAAGATGCTTGCGGGGTTTTGTCTGCTGAGCGAGACAGACACCTTCTCAAAAACCGTGGTATCGGGTCCCCCATGTATTTTCTTTCCGTACTGTTCGACATTGATACCATCTGTACTATAGCATAATTATCACGGGAAAAGCAAGGCCGGAGTTTCTTTTTGTTTCCATACATTGGGGTGGCTTGTTGTCTATGGAAATGTTATTATAGACAGCGAGGGTAACACACAAAAGAGGGGTAGTACAGTCTTTTTTAGTTCCGTGGTCACAAGAGAGAAGAATTTTTGTTCAAGAAATGGGATTGGGACTGGGGCACACCTAGACACATTCGGGACTGGAGCTGGGGGGCTGGGGGCGTACTTCTGTTTTTGATTTGTATAAGGAAAAGAATTGGGGCCATCTCGACTTTAGAAGATATTCGTTCACTGTTTTTGAAAATTCCATCATGACACATTCACTGATTTCATCGAGTTTCAACATGAATCGCACATATACATTTTCGTCTTGTACGATGCGAATCTGCTCCGCATCTGTCCGTTGATAGCCACGTTGACCTAAGTTTGAACTCCTTCCTGAAAAACAAAGTATGAGTAAACACTCACCATGAATGACTCCATCTGATCTCACTTGTCGGTCAGTGTCCTGAAAGATGTATTTTCTTCCATCTGAACTAGATCGTCCCCGTGGTCATCGAAGCCCCACAACCCGTTATCAGCTTCTCGACTCTTCTTCATATTTATTTGTTAACATCCCCCATCAACTCATTCATACTCTTCTCCCAACCTGAAGGAGGGCAAATGCTAGGCAACTGCGTGTCGCGTAGATGTTCCTAAATTAGTAGGCCTCGTATAATAATAAGTCCTCCATTTTCCCTCTCCCCGCCGTATCTTGCCCACCCCCTTCCCATTCCTTCCCACCTCTTCCCTTTTTCTCCTCGTGGTATATATATATATATATATCAGCCTCATCAATCTTATCCCAAGTTTCCCTACTTTCTAGTTCCCACCAGCACCACCCCCTCCTCCTCCACCGCCACCGCCCTGCTGCCCACCAAAAAAGAATCCTTCAAACAAATCTAACTGCTGTCCATCGCTAAAATCATGATGGTTCCCTTCCCACCCGATACCAAAGCCTAGATCCATCTGTCCCACTACCTCAGCCGGGTTCAGGTTCACGTTCAAATTCGCCAGATCTCCTCCATTACTAATGTCCATACCACCAGCGGCGCCGCCATCAACACTTTGCAAGAACTCTAAGCCTTGTAGATCACTGAAGCTTAGTGTGCCGGGACTATTGGAGTATGCTTGTTGTTGCTGTTGTTGCTGTTGCTGTAAATAGTCATTTGGCGTCCCTCCGCGTTGTTGTTGTTGCTGTTGTGGCTTGGCCCCAATAATCGGCGATCCACCCATCTGAGCAGGCGGCGTTAAGGGGTTACTAAGTCCTTGTCCTTGCCGTTGTTGGTGCTGTTGGATGGCGCTCGGCGAGGGCATCAAGGTCGGATCAATGGAGGTCTCGCCTGCTGGGCTTTGAGCCATCGGTCCCCCGCCGCCAGAGGCGGCTTCCGCAATGGAGCTTGCGTTGCTATGTGGTGGCGGAGGTAGGTTTCGCATGAGAGAGAAGCCGCCTTCCTGCTCGCTCTTGATCGCGGCGGCAGCAGCGGCACCAGACATGCGGAACTGTTGGGCCTGTTGGAAGGCGGAAAGCTGAGATGCTGATGAGACGGAGTAGGCGTCGGAAGCGAGATCGCTGTACTGTGACGAAGGATTTCGGAGCATAGGTGGGCGATGGCGGTGTTGTTGTTGTTGTTGTTGTTGTTGTTGTTGTTGTTGTTGTTGTTGTTGTTGTTGTTGTTGTTGTTGTTGTTGTTGTTGTTGTTGTTGTTGTTGGTGCTGGCGATGTTGCTGCTGCTGTTGTTGTTGTTGTTGTTGTTGTTGCTGCATTCTATAGTGTTGCAAACTAGAAGCGGCAGAATCGCTCTGTGAGCTCCAGTCGAGACGCTGATCAATGCTTCCCCCAGGGCGTCGTATGTGGATGTTGTTTCCATATCCGCCGGACAAGTCCTGGCCCTGGCCGAAGCCTCCAGTCGAGTTTGCCATTTTGATGGTTGCTTTGGCGGTGCGATCAAAGGCATCTCGACAAGCTTCTGCTGGCGGACATTTATCTATCAGGTCTGTAAAAACGGATTTGGCAGCCAAAATCGTGAAGTCGACTTCATCCACGGTCTATAAGGGGGTGCGCGTTAGCCTGTGAAAAGCCGTAGAATAATCAGCAAAAAAAGGTGTGTTTCCTTACAAGTCTGCTCCTCACGATAGGGGAATGCCAGATCGCATAAAGATAAGATATTCCGGCCATGAACAAATGGTGGGTGGCCAAATAGGTATAGTTGACCAGGCACACACGGTGCAATTGGCGGTAAAGGCGCAAGATACGTTGGCCTGCCTCGGCGACCTTGAGATACACGCGGTCTTCATCCTCCCGAAGCTCCATGTTGAACATTGTCGGGCTGTTGACCTCCTTTGACGTGTGATATTCACCTTCGAACAAGGCTGGCACACTTAGACTTTGGCGATAGAGCATAATGACAGCCTGCCAGTAGTTAAGGTCAAAGAATTCAGGCGAAAATTGTACGCCAGTCTGCTGCCGTGTTGGTGCAGAATTTTTCCACTCCCATAGTCTCCTGTCGATATCAATGCGCCATGCTCGGAAGGTTTCGAACTGTGACAAGAACGGCGATGGAAGAGATGTATGCATGTAAGGGTTCTTCTGGTTCAGTCCAGAGGCCCGCGCAAGCTGTGATTGCTGGAATTGCAAGACTTGAAGAACTTCTGACTGGAGCAGCCTAAGACGGAAGTAGTGATGTGCGATGAGTTTGTAAGTCGGTCCTATCACGTCGGGGGGTGGTTCAAGCAAGCCGCTTGGCGTAATAAATCGATCATCTAGGAGAGAGGGGAACTCTGTGGTAATGACTTGATCTGATATGCCAAATGGCCTGCCGACGCAAACACTGACGAGGCGATCGAGTGAATAGGTGCACCACCACAGACGCCGCCTGAGATCACGCATGTACTCCCTTCTTCCCCTTTCCCGCGAGAATGCTTCGCTCTGGTCTCCGATCCCTAGACCGGATTCAATGTCCTTACCGTCTTCGTAGTGTAGGCCGAGATCGACCGCCAACCTGATGGCGACGCCGACGATGTACCACAGCCCGGGAGGAACCGGCCTCAACAAGGCAAAGTTGGCGAGAAGCAAGACGGCCTGTAACTCTTCCAAACCACCGGCACTGTTGCCAAGACAAGCCTCAAGATGAACAATGGCACTAGCATGATATTCTTCTGGCTGGCACTGTCTTGTGTTGTCATCAGTTTTACCTGGCGCTTCTGCCGATCCACTGGCCTTGGTCGATTCTCCCACAATGATGCCGCCGCCTATCGCGAAGACCATGTTCAACATGTAAAGTTCTCGTGGCCCCCGTACACGGTTTTCTTCGGCATAAGCTTGCTCAAACATTTCCAGGAACTCGCCCTTGTGGAGCACAGGCATTTGGGGGTTCGCATGCTCAAAGTAAAGCGACATCAGCTTTTCGCCCATAGCCCTGCTGGGGAATGTTGCCGGATGAATCGTCGGTTTTGTGTGCAAGCCAAAGAAGGAGTCTCTCATAGACGTTCCGGCGGTGGCGGGGCCATTGTTGGGAGCAGGCTTGTAGGGTCGGATGCCAGCTTTGTCCGAGGTGGACTTCTGATCGGATACCGACGACTGCACCGCAGCGAAAACAATGCGTGCAAAAGATATTCCCGAGGTAGATCCCAAATAGCGAGGGTTTGCCGTTGCGGATACGCCACCAAGGTCAGACTTGGACACCAGTTTCTGTAGTCTGACCACATCATCTCCCTCATTCTGTGGTCTTTGATTGTTGATGCTATCTGGTGTTTCTAGTTGTGAGGGATGCCCGCTCGTGTCCACCTGGGTCGAGTGGACATGGCGCGGCCTATCTCCCTTCTTGGAACAGTAGTCCAAATTTTCGGCCGGCGGGAAAGTGATGTTGTTGTCCTTGAGCAGATGCTCCAGTTGCTCTACTCGTTTCTCGAGGTAAAAGATATAACTGGGACAGCACGGCGTCAGTACTTTTGCTATTCACAGGCAGGAAGCGAGGCGTTGGTGAAGATGGGTTATGGCGGGAACCTTAATGATTGGGTCCCGGCCGGGCCGGGGGAAGGGGAGGGGGGGGGGGGGGGGGGGGGGGG